TATATATATATATATATATATATATATATATATATATATATATATATATATATATATATATATATATATATATATATATATATATATATATATATATATATATATATATATATATATATATATATATATATATATATATATATATATATATATATATATATATATATATATATATATATATATATATATATATATAATTATCCTTTACGGTGCATCATCCTGGGGTGGAAATTGGACGGAATATAATGGATCCGCAGTAATGACTTTTTCGGGAAATTTTCAATTTTTTTTCCAAAGTAAAAAATGGGTTCGAATTTTTGTTCCAAAAAACCCAGAATGCAAAAATTCATTCCGATTTCATTAGGCCTCGTAATCGGCGAAATTTCGGAAATTACATTAGTTTATAATAATCTCTTGTTTCAAATTCGGATGTAGTGGGAATTTCGACAATATTTTTCTGTCTTCTTCGAAATTTTGCAGGAAAATGCAAGAAAATTCAGAAGAGAGTTCGAATAATCAACTAATTTATCCAAAAGTTGATTCGGAATTAGAATAAGTATACATATAGAGAGAAAACTAAGAATTCTGTTTTGAATAAATTAATATTTAATTACCGGGTTATTAGCAGCTACACCACCATCAATAAGATTGAAGTCCCGAGATTGGCCGGAGGCGTCAGCGTTTGTGAAATGATGGGCCGGAAAATAGGTCGGCGCCGCCGATGTGCCGATGCATATATCTGATAATAGTGCGTTCATATAAGCCATATTCTTTACCTGCATGCATATTAATTAGCCATGCAAATATATAAAATTATGAGAAATTTTCATTAATTAATCTTTTACTTACAGAGAGAGAGAGAGAGAGAGAGAGAGAGAGAGAGAGAGAGAGAGAGAGAGAGAGAGAGAGAAAATAGTTGGGTGCAAGTTCTTGATATCAAAGGTGGGAATGACAACATTTGTTAAGGTTTGAGTCAACCTAGTTTGCCCTAAATTGTCCCTTATCAACTTGTGCAGATACTTGCCATTGTACTTTGGCCCTCCTAATTGAGCAGCTGTGCTTTCGATTGCTCCGAAAAACCCCCTGTATATATAATTAATATATATACGTAAATTATATATATCAAACCGAAAAATCAATATTCATTAATGTAATTACCACAACTGTGGGAATATTTTGGGCCCGTTCTTCACATAAAACGGAGTAATGTCTTTAGCAGCATATAATGGACGGTTATTAGCATCCGGAGCCGTAAGCATGCATGTCACAAGCCCGCCTGTACTTGTTCCCGCAATTACATCAAAGTAATCTGCAATTCGAGCGTTTTCGCCATCTAGTTTCTGATCGTTCATGTATGCATACACAATTGTTAGTTATATATGAATGTATACATATACATATTACAAAATGTACGATAAATGTTGTATAATGAAAATGCGAAAAAATAAGGGATACAAAAGTAATATTGGATTGATACTTGGAGTTCGGATTCGAGAAATTCAAGAATCTTGGCAGGAATGATGCCTCGAATGCCACCTCCATCAATGCTAAGAATGGTGACTAGGTTTCCATTAGTCGGGGGTAGGATTTTCTTCAACGAAGACGACGACGATGCCATAATTATCAATTGAGATAACAAATTGAAGGAATGTCAAAAAAATTTAAACTAATGATTATAACATGGAGTTCTTTTTTTAACAGTTAGAGTAAACACGGTTGTTATATGCAATAAATGAAAAACCGAGACTTTCGTCAAGAACTTGTGTGGTTCGCTTCGCCACAAATCGTCGAAAACTTCCTGCTGAATTAAATAAAAATGTCTGAAGTATATATTAGAGGTGTTTGATAATTAGAGTCATTTGCCAAATTTTAATTGCTGAAAATGTTGACGAAGACTGAGTTTAATTAATTAATTTCTTTGAGATAATTAATTTAATTAACTCTACCCTCTCTACCAACTGACTTAATAAATATGAAAATAATCTATTCAAATAAAAAAAATATAAGATAAAAAAAGCACTACATTATCCTTTTTAATTGGATGTTTAATTAGCATAAGCAAGGTAGGTTAGAGAGAGACCCTCAATGATTACTCCAATCTTTTAATTGTACGTAATTAATATATTCTTCCATCAAATTTTAAGTATATATTGTTTTATTATCGTTCAAATTTTTAATTATATATTGTTTAATTAGCTATTAGGACTTATTTTATGTTTGGTTTGTGCAATAACTTAAAAAAAATAGGGGCTTCTTTGTTAGTTTTTGTAGTTCAAAGGGTTTTTATGACAAACCCTATAGTTTAGGGGTGCAAATCGTACTTTTCCCTTAAGTTCAAGTGTAAGAACTTGAAATTTAAAATTCTGTGGGGTAGACTTTGTCAACTGGTACAGTAGGCCCATAATCTGCCATACGGTTATATATATACTTAGATAGCATAAATAAATGGGCTAATTTTTAAAAGCCCAATTTGACATTAAACAGCCCAATGATTTTTTTTAATTATTAATATTATTATTATATACACTATAAACACATAATATAATAAAAAATATAATACTAAAAATTTAAATTCAAAGGGCTTGTGACCTTTTCTTTCCCATACTTGTATTTTATGGTACTGAAATAGTACTGAAATGTTAAATGTCGTTTCAATTCTACTAATATCGTTTTGACGTAGAATGTGATTTTAACCCTTTTCTAGTTTGAATTTGGCAAAATTCAAAAGACGGATATCGTAGTCCTTTGAGTTAGCTTTCCAATCCAACTTGAATCGGGTGGATCGGATGTCGGGTGATAAAGTTACACGTGAATGAGTTACATCTTAAATTTTACATAATTCAAAACATCAAAGTTGTATGCAATGTTCATTTCATGTTGATGCATAACTTTCTCAACCGACATCCAATCTTGGCGATTCAAGTTAGATTAGAAAGCTAGCTCAAAGAACTACAAAATTCATGTTCTGAATTTTGCCCAATTCAAACTAAAAAATGGTCAAAAAAACTGAAACGACATTCATCGCATCCCTTTATATAGTATATATATAATATGAAAATAAAAGAAAATAGAAGATTGTATTATTATTATTATTTATTTTTAATATAGTGTTTAGTGTTAATTATTTAATCATATACAAAAGTTGAAGCAAAGAAAAATATAATAATTATTAAAAAAAATGGAGTTTCCTTGATTTCCACTTTTAGCCCGAGAAGTGAGAGTAGAACTACCCAAAGCAACCGACAAGCTTAAAATAACACACACAACAACTATTGATCATTCATCTCTCTCTCTCTCTTCTCTCTCTCTCTCCTCCCTCTCTCTCTCTCTGGATCTGGAATCGCAGAGTTTCTGCTCCGATACGCAATGGGGAGAACCGGCGTTGAATCTCATGCAATCCTTACACTTTTCTCCATCTGCATTTTGCTATTTCCTCACAATGCATTCAGCTTCTATCTCCCAGGTGTTGCCCCCGAAGACTTCCAAAAGGTTCTAATTACTCTCTCTAGAAATCCAATTTTTTTTTTATTTTTTTTTGTCAATTATACATCGTTTTCTGATTTAGGTTTTTTTTTTTTTTTTTCACGATCCGATGTCCAATGTGAAACGTTTGTGTATTTTCTTTGTTCCTGGTTACATTTGAAGATCTGATCTCAATTCTGTGTCTGCTTGTGTGTATTGTTGGTTAATTTCGGAATAGTCCTTTGTGTTTCAGATGTTTGCATCTGATGAGATTGTTTTAGTTAGAGATTGCTGTATATTAGATTTTGTATTGATACCCTGTTGCTCAAATGTTTGTTCCTGCTGTCTTGATAGAGAAAATGAAATTTGGGGGATAATGTGTATAATGTATACTATTAATTCCATCTTACACAATTTTTTAGTTGAATTTCTACCGATCAATTTGGAGCTTTGTCGTTGAGCTTAATTTGCACGATTTTTGAATTATAGTGTAATTAATAGAAGATTTTATAGCCCACTTGAGGTAAGATATGCTCGTTTATATTTAATCGAGACCGTATATGGGAAATTTGGCGTAAGCAACTAAGATTTGTTCTCTAGTCCTATCTTTTTTGTAGACGATTTTGATTGCATACGAAACCCCTTTACAAACTATCTCGTTGAACACTTCTTTTCTCGGTATTTTTTTTATAATGTTGAATATGTATCCCTTTATTAGCCCTTGAAACTGTATTTAACTAATACGATCTGAAATTCGAACTGTTGGTTTTGGCTAAATCGTTATTATTCTTATTTATCTCGTGTATGGTCTATTTGTAAATATGATTGCGACTCGACTTACATTTATCCAACTTTATTTATTTGTCTGTTTTTCAAATTGGGTGCAGGGAGATGTGCTGAACGTGAAAGTGAACAAGTTGACTTCGATAAAGACTCAGCTTCCTTACTCGTACTATTCTATTCCTTTCTGTTCCCCAAAGACCATAGTTGACAGCCGAGAAAATCTTGGAGAAGTACTTCGTGGTGATCGAATTGAGAACTCCCCCTATGTGGTACGTTTGTTTAATTAATTATCTAATTTCATGATATACTATATTATGCACCTTCGCATTTATATCGATTTTATCTTGATCATTGACTTTTTTTTTTTTTCCTTTTTGAATGGCTATGGTACAGTTTAAAATGAGGGAACCGCAGATGTGCAATGTTGTCTGTCGACTTAAATTCGACGCAAAAATTGCGAAAGAATTTAAAGAAAAAATCGAAGATGAATATCGTGTTAACATGTAATTGCAGCCCTTTTTGCCGTTTACAAATCTATTTTTTTTCTTTCCTTTTTAAGAGAGTTTATTTATTTTTGCAGGATCCTAGATAATCTGCCTTTGGTTGTTCCTATTCCAAGATCAGCACAAGAAGGCCCTCCCATTTACCAGCTCGGTTATCATGTTGGGCTCAAAGGCCAATATGCTGGTGTAAGTTTATTAACTAATTATTATATATCTAAAATTGTACGAGAAATTTATTTACACGGAAGATTTTCTCTCTTCACTCACAACTTTGTATTGTATACAGAGCAAGGATGAAAAGTACTTTCTACACAACCACTTGAGCTTCACTGTCAAGTTTCACAAGGACGAGCTGACTGATTCATCAAGAATCGTCGGTTTTGAGGTCACACCATTTAGGTTCGTTCTTTACGTATTTATTATTATTATTATTAATTTAAAATGATAGACCAGGAATTTAATTTATCGTTTTCTTTATATCTCCTAAATTAGTGCCAAGCATGAATATGACGGAGAGTGGAGCGAGAATACTCGTCTAACAACGTGCGATCCCCATGCAAAGCATACGGTCTCTTCTTCAAACTCCCCGCAAGAAGTTGATGACAAACAAGAAGTTATATTCACTTACGACGTTGCATTTGAGGTATCATATTTTCTTATTCGTAAATAAAATGTTAAATGTCGTTTCAATTTTTACCGGTACCGTAAATCCAAGATTACGCATAGCTTTCTCATGCAACCACCATTTTAGCTAATTCAAGTTGGTTAGAAAGTCAATTCAAAGGGCTAGAACTTTGATGTCTTGAGTTTTCCTAAACTCGAAATGTAAGATTGTCAAAATCACGTTTTGTAGAAGAATTTTGAAGCAGACTTAATTGTGGTCATGCGTAACTCTTTCACCAGACATCCAACCCCTCTGACTCAACTTGGATTAGAAAGTCTAACTCAAACAACTACAAATTCATACCGAAAATTTGTCAAAATCATATTTTGAAATCACAACGATTACATTCTTTTCATCATCACAACTCAATATTTTTACAGGAAAGCGAAGTGAAGTGGGCATCAAGATGGGACACTTACCTACTAATGACAGACGATCAAATCCACTGGTTCTCAATAGTAAACTCCCTCATGATTGTTCTCTTTCTCTCCGGCATGGTGGCGATGATAATGCTTCGAACGCTTTACCGCGACATCTCAAAGTACAACGAACTCGAAACACAAGAAGAAGCCCAAGAAGAAACGGGCTGGAAATTAGTCCACGCGGACGTATTCCGCCCCCCAAACCACCCCGAACTGCTCTGCGTCTATGTAGGGACAGGTGTCCAATTCTTAGGGGTCGTCCTAGTCACCATGGTCTTCGCAGTCTTCGGTTTTCTCTCTCCTTCGAACAGAGGAGGCCTTATGACTGCCATGTTGTTTCTTTGGGTTTTCATGGGACTTTTCGCAGGTTACACATCGGCCCGTCTTTACAAAATGTTCAAAGGAACCGAGTGGAAGAAAATCGCCGTCCAGACAGCGTTTTTATTTCCAGCTGTCGTTTTTGGAATCTTTTTTGTCCTCAATGCTCTTATATGGGGGCAGAAATCTTCGGGGGCGGTTCCATTCGGAACTATGTTTGCCTTGGTTTTTCTATGGTTCGGAATTTCGGTGCCACTTGTCTTTGTGGGTAGTTACGTAGGGTTTAAAAAACCTGCGATCGAAAATCCGGTTAAGACGAATAAAATACCTAGACAAATACCCGAGCAGCCGTGGTACATGAACCCGATATTCTCGATCTTGATCGGTGGAATTTTACCCTTTGGAGCTGTCTTTATCGAGCTGTTTTTCATTCTTACTTCGATTTGGTTGAATCAGTTCTACTACATATTCGGGTTTCTGTTCATAGTGTTTGTCATTCTGCTAGTGACGTGTGCTGAGATCACTATCGTATTGTGCTATTTCCAGCTCTGCAGTGAGGATTATCTTTGGTGGTGGAGATCTTATCTCACTTCTGGTTCTTCAGCGGTGTATCTATTTCTGTACGCTACTTTTTACTTCTTTACGAAGCTGGATATTACGAAGCCTGTTTCGGGTGCGTTGTACTTTGGGTATATGCTCATTGCTTCGTACGCATTCTTTGTGCTGACGGGTACGATTGGGTTCTACGCGTGCTTCATTTTCACAAGGCTGATTTATTCTTCGGTGAAGATCGATTGAGGTATATCCTTATTTTTTTTTCGGTGAAGAGAATTGTTATTATTCATTATTCATATGGAAGTACGCGATGCGATGTATGATGTTTAATTAGAAATGGCCGTAACTAGGCAATTAATTGTAATGTGGTAATGTTTTTTTCCATTTATTATTATTGTTATTTTGTGTTGTCGAGGTTTTCTTGATTTTGTAGCAAGAATGTCGTAGAGCTTTTGTAAATTGTTCGAAAGTGTATCAGACGAATTCTTTCGAATACGAGTCGGACTTGAGACATATTATCCCAGGATTAATGTAGAACAAAGTTCGATTTTTATTTCATACTTCGCATTGATTCTACCGTTTGTAGGCTGGTTGGTATATTGTTCAATATTTGAGACCTTATTTCCAGCTTTTTATATTTAGCAACTGTTACTACTTGATTTTTATTTTATTTATTTTTATAATATTACAAATATAAGATAATTAAATTGGTTCCATGATTTAATCTTTTATTTATTTAACGTAATCGAATATATTGATTAATTTCTCTCATTATATTTTGTATATATATCTCCTTCATGCACTATAATTATAAAACCTTGTACTATTCGAAGTGTGATACCATTCTTCATATATATAAATACGCAGTGTTTATGATTAAATAAAAACACAAATCAAAGAGTAAATTCAATCTCCAAAACAACAACAATGTGGAAGAACAAGTTGATGGAACGTGTGGCTCAGGTTTTGTCCTATAAATCAGGATGGTTAAGGCCGTGTTGTCAGTATTACGGCAATGCCACTCATGATTGTTGTCTCGATAATTGGCCCACCAAGACCCACCGGAAAACAAGAACGACAACAACCCCGACCACTAATACCACCACCTGCACAATTACTCCACGATAATCATACTACAGGGGTTGTATCAACTTTCAAGAATCTCGGTACAACAAACCCTACTCTTAATGCTTTCCACAGTCGGAAAAAACCATTGGAGGAGGCCCCACCGGAAACTTCCACAGCCAACGTAAGTGTAATAGTAATTCAAAAGTTCCTCAACATAAGAAAAATTAAAGTACTAACTGTTTTTCTTTTTTTTTTTTTCTTTTTTTTTTACAGGATGAATCCACACCAAAGAAGAAGGCCAAGTATAATAAGACGAAAAACTCATCAAGAAAAGTTCAACCTCCGCCGGTGGCGGAAGCTCAGCTTCCGGAGGTGTTGAAGAATCGGATTCTTGAAATCGGTGGGTCGTTGGATGAACTGATGTTGGTTATGAAAGAAAGAACTTTACAATACCGATGTGAACAGAGATCAGGGCCGATTGTCTCTGCCCTACAGACAAGCGAACATGAACTTTCTGACATCGAACGAAACATCGAACGAAAGATACAACCTTGATCAACCGAAAGCGAAAATTCCGGTGACTCTGATTGAACCGTGTCTGCACGAATGTACGATAAGTTTGAGAGACTGGAATACGAACGCTATGATGGTGTTGGTAAATCCATGGAATGAAGTTTGCATGAGGAATGAGCTGAAATAACAAGGGAGTATTGTTCAACTGTGGTCGTTCAGACGAAACTCTCAATTGTGTTTCGTGCTTGTTCTAGTTGATTGATATCGATCGATCGGGTTATAGAATATATATATAAAGAATCTTTTTGATTCCTTTTCTTCTTAATTAGAATATTTTATATTGTTCTATTTATTGACAAATTATTATGATCGGGATTGTTTTTATTTTCCGATTAAACTTTTGTGAGCCGGTAACTATATTATGCAATTAGTTTAAGTTGTTTTAAAGATTCTCATAAACTGGTTTTCTTCTTTAGGTAATTTGCAGGAGATTCAATTTTTTTGTGTCTGTGAATTTTGTTTGTTGTGTAGACCTTCGATCTTGACATCGATTATATACGTAGTACATGTTTAATTTAAATGGGATGTGCAATAGTTTTGTAACTTTGTTAGTCCTTGATTTGGCAACAATTGTCCATGTGGAGGGACCTGTATATATAGGCGACTCAAAATCGAAAGCCGATGATCAGCAACTCATAATCGAAATTGTCCACGTGATCCACGTGAGGAGACCTGTATAGGCGACTCATAATCGAATACTGTTGATCTAACAACTCATAATCGAAATTGACTCATAATCGAATACCGTTGATCAGCAACTCGTAAGCGAAATTGTCCACGTGATCCATATGGGGAGACCTTTATAGGTGACTCATAATCGAATGCCACGGGAGGACGGGGTGGCACCCGCCAACATTTTTTATTATTATTTTATTTTAATTTGGTATTTATCTATTAGTTTATAAACTTTTGGCCCCAACGTTTAATTTTATGCACTTTTTAGTCCAATTTTTTTTTTTTTCTTCTCTTAAATTGTCCCATATTCTAGTCTCCAACATAAAAACCTTCGACTCCTGCAAGAATTGATCAACACCAGAAACAAACAAAAAAATTTAAACATTCTATGTTGTAACAAACTTGACAGTACTCCAAGTATAATTAATATATATTCGAGTTTTTATATCACTCATTTAATTTCGAGAGCTAAAAAAAAAAAGAAAAAAACAAAAAAAAGGTGAAGTGATTCATCAATTTCTCCCAAAAGGCTGGAACAAACTTTCTAGTACACAAGAAGCAATAAGTTAGAGAGAGAAAAAAAAAAAATGAAACCAACGATCGGAGTTCTTCTACTTGCGGGGGCGCGTGTCTTCTGGATTAGCCATACCGGTGGCAACTCGAGCAACGTCGGCGGCGGTGGCTTCAGGCTTCTTCTTGGTGTACAAAGTGAAGTACCACATGGCGCCGGTGACTGCAAATCCGACGAGGGTAATAGTTGTAAGGCTGTAGGGCAAGCTCCGCCGCTGGTGGAGGATTCCGCCGGGGTTGCTTCCCGGAGGACGCTTGGATGCTTCAACTCCGGCGCTCCTCACCTCCTCCGGCGACATCTTGTGCGTGTCTGCGTTCTTTCTCCATTCCTCATTTCCTGCCATTAATAAATTCCTTCCCTTGATCGAACAACCTTCGCCTCTTGTCTCTGTTTAGATTAATTAATTTGGAGAGTATATAAATAATGGATTTAATTCAGAATTTGAACGATAGGAAAAAAATATATGAGAGAGGTGGTGAGGGTTTGACACGTTCTTCTTCACGGCGGTGCATAGAATCCGACGTGTCACTTCCTTACGCTATGCACGTGGCTTTTATATTTTTAACTTTTTTAAAGCCTAACGAATACATATTACTTCCCATAAATTAAAAAAATAAATATTTGCATTAATCACATTATTAATCCCCTTTTTACCCTCCTTAAGATGTATTTATAGTTTTGTTTAGTAAAACAAGTACTAATTGAATTAAACTATGATGGTGTTTGCAAATGATTATTTAAAAGCAGAAGTTAGTGATTGTGATTTAAGTTAGTTTTAAGGACTTATTTCTAAAAGTTGGAGGTGTTTGCAAATATTGCGGAAAATGAACTAAAATTGAAAAAGCAGGGTTATGGGTGCTTTTAAAAAAATAGCTTAAAGCAGATTATTTTAAGAGAAGCAAAAGCAAAAGTTGATTTTGCAAACACCTAAAAACAGATTATGAGCAAAAAAAACCGCATAATCACTTTCAAAAAGCATTTGCAAACGCCACCTATAGACGGTGTCAATTGATTCGCCTAAAAACCACCTTTGGGGTCCTTGTAGTGCAGTTTATGAGCCACGAACTCAGCCTTTATCGTGCTTGATTTATCCTGCACAAGAAAGAACTGGACTAATGCTGGAGTTAGCACTCCGACGGTCAAATCAGTAATTTAAAGTAGTTTTAAAGTGGAGTAAAATGTATAAAGAGTTTTATTCTTGTTGTTCTTCCTGATAAATGTGAGCTGATATTTATAATGTTCTAACCTGAACCTCGCATAAAATCCGGACGAGTGAGTGGGCCAACTGCTTTCCCACCTTTGTCGGACATCGTTAACCATCATATATTCCCCTCAGGGTGGCTATGGCAGCGCCCTCTTCGGATTTCCAGGAGTAGCCTGGCTTGCAAGCTTTTTATCAGCGGGCGGTCTTTAGTCATTCGGGCATTAAATGCTGGTGTCAGGGCATTTAATGCGTCAATATCCGCATAAAGAATGATTGCCAGCCTTCATTAATGCAATGCCTCCCTCAACGTCTATCGCCGCTAAAACTCCGTGGTGGGACCCGACACCCCCTTCACCCGAGCAAGTGACCGGTCTTGACTCCTCGGACATTAGTCTTGTCGGTAGTTTAAGGAGCACGAGGAGCATTTGGGCTTTGGGCCCCCTTCTCTCGGCTGCGCCTGCTTGAAAGGGCTTATGGTGTGTTATCTCAGCTTGGGCCGAATGGGACCATACGCTCTTTTGGGCCCGAATTCCTTCCGGATCAGTATTCATATTTAATATTTGATTTTTTTTTCTGTATTTTTATTTTTTTATAAATATTTGATTAGTAGATAAACAAGCTCTTATATGAAACTAATGAGACAATCAATTTTACTTTTTAAAGCTCATAGAAAAAGAGTAGCTCTAGATGGGCCTGGGCACGTTAATTTTTGTCAAAAGCCTATTCATTAGGCAATACCCTTGTTGGGCCCGTCAATTGAGGGCCCACTATCAATCAAATTATATTCGTTTAAATAATTTCTTTTTTTGAAAATGAAGAAAATGAAAATTAAATTTGGTATTATCTGTAAAATCCTGAAAAAGCTTTATTGTAACGTTGAGCTTTGGACCGTTACTACTAGCTTAGCTGCAGACAAAATAATACATACAGCTCCTTTATCACTGTTCAACAAAACCCCACCCTCCTTCCAGAACACTCCAATCAACGGCTAGTTTTTCTTTTTCCCCCACTATATATTCCGGCCCCGAAACCCTATCTTCCTCACTACTCTCTCTCTCTCTCTCTCTCTCTAATTTTCTCTCTCTAGCTGTAAATCATCAGTGTAAAATTAAATGGCTCGATTATTATTATCTTCAGTAGTAGTGGGGCTAATCGTCCTATTTTCCGCCGGCTTTTCGGAAGCCAGAGACTACCTCGTCGGCGGGAAGGCCGACGCCTGGAAGATCCCTACTTCAGATGCCGATTCTCTCAACCACTGGGCTCAGAATTCTCGCTTCCTCATCGGAGATTCTTTAGGTACTACATTACATTAATTACACATATACATACATTCATATTTTATATCTCTCCTCAAAAAAAAAAATTGATTTTTTTTAATTAATTAAATGCAGTGTGGCAATACGATGCGGCGACCGATTCGGTTCTGCAAGTGACGAAGAGAGATTACGTCACCTGCAACACGTCAAGCCCGATCGAAACATACACCGGCGGCCAGACGAAGGTCAAGCTCGAGCAATATGGTCCCCACTACTTCATCAGTGGGGCCCAAGGCCATTGCGAGAAGGGTCAGAAGTTGATTGTCGTCGTTATTTCAGACAGGCATCACCGCCACATTGCGGTTTCTCCGGCGCCTTCCCCGGCGGAATCTGATGGTCCGGCGGCTGCTCCGGCGCCGGCGCCGGCCAGCGATGCCCGGAGTTTGAGTGGAGGTCTCTTCTTGACAGTAGCATTGGGGGCGGTATTGGGCTTAATAATGTGAGGATTTTATTTTTATTATGTGTAGTGGGGTCCACAAAATTAGTTTATTCTTTTATTTTTCTCTCTCTGTGTGTGTAATTGAGATTACATGTCTCTCTCTCTAGTTATTGAGATTTTATCTAATATTATTTATTTATTTATTTAAAGGACCTTTTGATTTGCAATTTCTATCTAAGTTATGAGCTTTTATCCAGAATTTACTAAAATGTATACAAAATAAATGCACAAGTAAAAAAAATAAAATTGAAGTTTCATTATGAGAACAAAAGATGAGGAAAAATTAGGTGGAAAATAATGAAATAATTTACCAACAAATGTTTTCTAACCGCGTTACAAACGGGAAAACGCAAACAAAAAGATCGAAAGCCGAATAGGAAAAAACATGGACATGTAAGATTTCCAACTGGAAGATTTCCAACTCCGATTAGACCTGGAATAATTTTTAAACGGCGAAGAAGAAGAAGAAAAAAAAAAAAAGCAGGCATTTCAAAGCTTTAAAACCATAATAGAACTGGATAACAACAGCAGTTAAGGAAACATATCCTACATCAAAATTACAAACAACACCTAAGAAAAGCAGGCTGCATGATAAAAAAAAGAAAAAAAAAAAAAAAACGAAAAGGAAAAGGAAAAGGAAAGAAAACAATCAAAAATCGGTCCATAGCTTAATAAATTACTTGACCACTTAAAACCGAGTATTCTAACACAAAATTGAGGTTGTCACCGTTTTTGCTGGATGGATAATGTGAAGGAAGCCACAACAGTTAATATCACATACAAATGATCCATGCAAACCTGCACAAAATACGAGAGTAAGATGTCAAATTCCACGGCCGAGTAGAGTGAATATTCGTATTCCCAGTACATTCTATATAGAGAATAATTCAGTTGTAATGAATTACGCGACAATCAAATTGAACGAGAAACTACTTATTAGGAAATACAGTCAAAGAACCTATTTATGTTATCGTATACAAAGAGAATCGAAACTCAAATCAGGCAAAATCATATTATATATTTACCCAATAATAGAGAGACGTTATTTTCGTCACCAATTATATGCAATAACAGACAATAGCTTTGTTTTGCTGGAATAATGGCTTAGATTTATAGAACTAGCGTCTTAACTTATCGCTATTGACGATTAGTAACCATATACAGTGAACCGTATAAAGTGACCATAAAATTGTCAAAAATCATTAGTCTATTCTTTGTTCTTAAATTTATGACTATTAACATGTAAGAATGTTATTATGATGAAAAAAAATTCTTGGTGCTAAAATAGATATGATCACTTAATACATGGCGACTCTCGAACATCTTAGCAAAGTGTCCTTTTATAAACCTCAGTCTCGACTCTAGGTAAACATACATACATCTATAACGCAAATATGAAAATATTGACATTGATCGGAATATTTCAACTATGCATTTCAGACTAGAAATTCAAGCTTAAATTTCAAATGTTCAAGATACTCCTAAAATCTCGTTACTCGATCAGGAAAAGGCACAGCTCAGCATATTTTAAAGGAAGCCGCCGCCCATACAACTGTAGAGAGCTAAATTCTAGATTAAATCAGTTTTCGGTAAGAGGAATTTGATTTTTCTACTATAAAAATTGGTTGTTTAGTTGTCGTATTTCCTATACAGTTGAATTTCCTTTTCAATATGTTTGCCTCTTGTTTAAATACTCTTGAGATATACGAGAAAAAAAAGAATCTCCATTCAGCCAGTTCATTTATTTCTGTCCTAAATGCAAAGATATTCTGGATAGAGCTATTTTTCACGTTGATCAATGAAAAATACGAACGAAAAAAAACCAAACAAGCAAAACATAAAAAAGTCTACCAGAGGATTAGTCCAGAACAATGACATCATCATCTGAATCCTCGTGTTGATGTTGTAAAGGTCCTTTAACACCATTTTTATTATCACCGAGTAACTCACGAGCTGCTTTCTCAAGAAACTCCTGAGCAGCAGAACGAACAGATTGCTTCTCAGTTGACTGATACTTTCTCTTCTTTTGACCATTTCTGTCCACATACTTCATATTTCCACCCTCCCCTCGACTAATTGCCCGCATGCTCTGCTTCTGCTCTGCAAAACCAGGTAATTATTAAAAAGACAATTAAATTGAAAAGTCAATTAATGTGAAAATTAAACGAACATATACCGGTGGAAAGATCAGGCAGGGAATGCTCAATAAAACGGGCCGCTGCATTGGTATTAATGGTGGCTGAAGGTCGCAGAGGTGCTACAAACACAATAAGCAAGCGATGTTTAGGAAGTAGCATGTGTCAAAATATAGAATTTAACAATATTTTATTCACTATTTCAACAAAGCTTCAATTTGATCAAGTTTGGTTAAATAGGTGAACGGCAAAAGATGTGTAGAAGACGAAGCAAGCCAGGTTTGCTTGTTAACCAAATTGACAGAAGCAGCTGCAAATTTATTACTGGATTTTATACGGAAAAAATTGCAAAATCATAAAAAGTTCATTATAGAGTGTAACCGGAGGAACATATTACCTTTGCTCAAGTTCATGCACTGATTCAATTTCTCTTGGTACAAGCTCAATCTCTCCTGAACAAATGATCATAAAAAAAGAAATATGCCCCACCATCAATATAGGTTGCAAATTTTAAATTGCAAATACTATAAGATAACCAAGCACTGCCGACCAATTAAAATATCAGAAATAGATCGTATGAAAGCGTAGTATAATATTTTCTTTAAAAAAAATTTCATAAGAATTGTCATCTTCTATTGGGGAGCGACAAATTTTCCTTCTACATAAGAACTACATATAAAGTGTATTTACTGGTAAAAACCACATAGTGAAGAAGAAAAAGAACGACAGAGAATAAAAGTAACGAAAAGAGGGTATATAAACAAAATTAGGCACTGATACATCAATTTCGAACTCTGAGCACGAAGTCGTTAATTCATTTCATTAAGCTTAATCATACTGATAGAAAGAACATCAAGAACACATATCGAAAGGCTAAAAGTACGGAACTAATACTATTGCATATAATCATACATTCATATATTCACATCAATTAACATAAACAGTAAATAAATATCAAAGCAAGGAGCAATTGATCAAAGTAATCTCAACAGTGAGAGACACTTACAAATTCTTTTGTAACCGGATGATCATCTATATTCACACCCTTGCATCTCAGCCTCACTGCAAAAAACCAGACAAATTCACAAACATGAATATATATATATATATATATATATATATATATATATATATATAAAAAAAAGAGACACAGAACATGTGTATATATATACATACAAGCGAAGAGAATAGTTGTAGATTTGGCGATCAAGACGAGAGCTTGAGCCCTTTCGAGAGGCTCCATTTTCGATAGGGTTTCGTTGTTACAGTAAGACAAAAACTCTTCCAAATTCGCCTCCACTTCATCGATGTTGCTACATGTTCTCTTCACCGCCTCCATTACTCTTTCTGGAATAACTTCGCTTGTACCAACACTCCCGCCGCCGATTTCCATTGTCAATTCCTCTTCTTTTCTCCCAATTTTCTTCAATTTGATTTCTTCCCCTGCTTCCGATTCTGAGCTGGAAGTAAAAAAAAAAAAAAAAAAAAAAAGGGTTTTGACTTTTGAATTTGAAATTTGAAGTACTCAGAAATTATCGAAGGGTTTTTCACAAATTGGGAATTTGGTAGTGGTGCGGTGGGTGGGAGGGATACAGCTAGCGCTGGCAATCGGGCCGTATGAGCCGAGCCTGGGTCGGCTCAAGCTCATATACCATCGGGCCTCATTATTATAGGCTCAAGCTCAAATACCATCGGGCCTCATGCATATAGGCTCAAACTCGGCTCACGTAGTTTTTCGGGCTTCGGGTTTATATCGGGCTTATATCGAGCAATAAACAAATTACATATTTTACAACTTTGCAGTCGACATGTTAAAGAAAAACAAAAAAAACTTCGCAGTCTAAGCGAAAAATCTAGACTATTCATTGAAAATCAAAATAAGCTTAAAAAATAAATAAATAAATTAAAAAAAATCATAGTCTGTTCATTAAAAAAAATAAAGCTAATGTTGCAAATATTTAATCCTTAATTAATTATATTAAAAAATGCATCCGAGTCCAAAATGAAAAAATAAAATAACTAGAAGCAATTCTAAATGTCCTCTAACTCTTTTCAAAAATCTTGAGACCTGAAATAAAAAAAGGACAACAAATATATATATATATATATATATAGTCGGGCTTTATTCGGGTCGAGCCATGGTAAGCTCAGACTCAGCTCATAGTTTAATCGGGTTTAATAAAACGGCTCACACTCGGCCCGGCTCACCATTAATGGGGCTCGGCTCAAATAAAATCGGGCCGAGCTATCGGGCTTCGGGTAGGCCCGGCTCAATTGCCGGTCCTAGATACAGCAAGGGTTTTAATATGGTGGCGCGTCGAATTTCTTCTGCTCTTTTCAGTAAATAAATTCCGAGTATCTAACTATTTTCCGATATTCATCAAACAGCCCCGTAAATTGAAATAAATATCTACATTGCCCCCAAGTTTTAGATATTTATAAAATGATCCCAATAATTATGGATTTTACTCGATTCGGTTCCTTTCTTCCATAAGCAGCCACTTTAGATAAAATTGGTGGGAACTGGATAATACAGCACCGGTCAGAAACCAAACGCCGTAGCCACATGCGATTTATCTAAAGCTTCATCGCACCGGCAAAGCAAATCACCCGCTTCGTTCGTCCATTTCTTTTTCTGTTTCCATTTGCCAAATTATTAATGTTCTTTCTCTTGGGCAATTTCACAAACACCAACCAGGCAAACCAACAGAGTCCACATTCGTTGACTGCCGTTGAATTCCTTGCGTAGTGTACATTCCCCATACTTCATTCTGTCTAGCGATTCATGTATGGCAGTAATTACATTAAATTCTTCGAGTTTACACCGCTGTAATTATGCTCAAATTTCATGTATGTCGAGTTACGGCAATGGCACGGGGAAAAGGAGAAAGATTGATTCTTTGGAGATTCTGCGGCATGGGTTAGTGATGAACTGGAAGAAGACGAAGAAAAAGCACGTTCGGTTTTGTGGGTTTGTCATGAAGAGTAGCAGCTCGGATGAATTCGTCTTGATGCAGAGCGAAATCAAGAAAGGCATGTCGTCCGATGAAATAATCGCTCGTCTGAAGTCAATTCATGATTCCGATCGGGCTTTCTCTTTCTTTAAATCCGTTGCAAGTATGCCACGTGTTATGCACACCACAGAAACATGTAACTACATGCTTGAGCTTTTGAGGGTGCATGGTAGAATTGAGGATATGGTTGTGGTGTTTGATATGATGCAGAAACAAATTATTTACAGGAGTTTAGATACTTACTTCATTATATTTAAGAGTCTAAGTGTAAGGGGAGGGATTCGACAGGCGCCTTTCGCACTCGAAAGGATGAGAAAATCCGGGTTTATTTTGAACGCATATTCGTACAACGGATTGATACATTTGATTCTTCAAGCGGGGTTTTGTACGGAGGCTTTAGTAGTCTACAGAAGAATGGTCTCGGAACAGTTGAAACCTAGTCTTAAGACATACTCTGCACTTATGGTAGCTAGTGGTAAGAGACGAGACACCGACACTGTCATGAGTTTGCTCGAAGAGATGGAGAATTTGGGACTGAGGCCAAATGTATACACCTTTACTATTTGTATCAGAGTGCTCGGTCGAGCAGGAAAGATAAACGAGGCTTACAGTATATTAAAGAGGATGGATGAAGATGGATGTGCACCTGATGTAGTTACTTACACTGTACTCATTGATGCTCTTTGTAATGCAGGGAAACTCGAAGTCGCGAAAGAAGTGTTCGAGAAAATGAAAAACGGCAGTCATAAACCTGATCGTGTGACTTATATAACTATGTTGGATAAGTTCAGCGATTATGGAGACTTGGATTCGGTTAGAGAGTATTGGAGCTTAATGGAAGCTGATGGTCATAAAGCAGATGTTGTTACTTTCACCATACTCGTCGATGCTTTATGCAAAGTGGGGAAAGTTGGAGAAGCATTTGATGTGCTGGACGAAATGAAGAAAAACGAGATCTTGCCGAATCTTCAGACTTACAATACTTTGATTTGTGGGCTTTTGAGGCAACGGAAATTGGGTGAAGCGTTAGAGCTATGCGACAGCATGGAATCGTGCGGCATTCAGCCTAATGCGTATACGTACATCTTGTTCATTGACTGCTATGGGAAATTAGGCGAAGCCGACAAAGCTATGGAAACCTTCGAGAAGATGAAAGCTCGTGGCATTGTCCCGACTGTTGTTGCGTGCAATGCGTCGCTTTACAGCCTGGCTGAAGTTGGTCGGCTACGAGAGGCGAAACAGCTCTTTGACGGAATAAAGCAGAGCGGACTTGTGCCTGATTCTATCACCTATAATATGATGATGAAGTGCTATAGCGGTGCAGGGAAAATCGACGAAGCCGTTCAGTTACTTCAAGAAATGATGGATAACAGCTGTCACCCTGACATCATTGTTATCAACTCCTTGATCGACACGCTTTACAAGGCTGACCGGTCGAAAGAGGCGTGGGAAATGTTCTGCAAGATAAAGGAGTTAAAAGTTGTACCTACGGTCGTGACGTACAACACGTTATTGTCTGGGCTGGGAAAACAGGGCAAGGTACAAGAGGGCTGCAAATTATTCGAGAGCATGGCTGCTTACGGCTGTCCGCCGAATACAATTACTTTCAACACGCTCATGGATTGCCTCTGTAAGAACGATGAGGTGGATTTGGCGTTGAAGATGCTTTACGAAATGACGGAAAAAGATTGCCGCCCTGATGTTTTTACGTACAACACTGTAATCTATGGATTGGTAAAGGAGAACAGGATTAACGAAGCTTTTTGGCTTTTCCATCAGATGAAAAAAAGGATATTTCCCGACTGGGTTACTCTTTTTACACTCCTCCCAGGTGTTGTGAAAGCTGGTTCGATCGAGAACGCTTTTAAAGTGGTTAGGATTTTTTCCCATCAGGATAGAATTTCGGCTAATCGATCTTTTTGGGGAGATTTGATGTCTGGGATTTTGAAAGAAGCAGAGTTAAACCATGCTGTTTCTTTTGCGGAAAAAGTAGTGTCGACCCGTCTTTGCAAAAGTGGTTCGATAATGGAGCCGATTATTAAGGTACTGTCCAAGCAAAAGAAAGCCCTTGAAGCCCACAACTTATTCGAGAAGTTCACTAAATCTTTCGGTATTCGTCCGACTGTGCAAGCGTATTATCTTTTAATCGAGGGTCTTCTTAATATTCATAAGAAGGAACTTGCATGGGAAATTTATGAGGAGATGAAAAACGCTGGCTGTGCTGCAGATGTACCCACCTACAATTTACTGCTCGATGATCTTGGCAAATCGGGAAAAATAAACGAGCTTTTCGAGCTGTACAACGAGATGCTCCACAGAGGATTAAAACCCGATACGATAACGCAAAACATACTCATTTCTGGTCTGGTGAAATCCAACAGATTAGAGAAAGCCATCGATTTGTATTATGATCTTATAAGTGGAGGCTTTGCTCCTACACCATGCACATACGGTCCTCTAATAGACGGTCTTTTGAAGGTCAAGAAACTAGACGAGGCAAAGAGTTTGTTCGAGGAAATGATAGAGTATGGATGCAGACCTAACTGCGCTATCTACAACATTCTAATAAACGGGTTCGGAAAATCGGGTGACGTCGAAACTGCTCGAGAGTTCTTTGAAAGAATGGTCGATGAAGGGATTAGACCGGATTTGAAATCGTACAGCATTCTAGTCGATTGTCTTTGCTTGTTGGGAAGAGTGGACGATGCGTTGTACTATTTTGAGGAAATTAAGAATGCGGGGCTCGATCCAGATTTGATTTGTTATAATATTATAATTAACGGCCTTAGCAAATCAAGAAAAGTCAAGAAAGCGCTTGCTCTTTTCGACGAGATGAGAAGCAGAGGAATGGCACCGAATCTTTATACTTTTAATGTCTTGATATCGAATCTTGGGCTTGTTGGTATGATTGAAGAGGCGAGAAATATGTTTGAAGAATTACAGATTGTCGGTCTTAAACCGGATGTTTTTACGTACAATGCTCTAATTAGGGCGCATAGTATGGCTGGGAATCCGGATCATGCGTACGATGTGTACGAGGAGATGGTGGTTGGAGGGTGTAGCCCTAATAACGGGACCTTTGCTCAGCTTCCGAATTAGCAATTTTTTTTTTCTTACAAACTGTTTTTCGTTCGATACGAGAGATATATATATACAGGTGATTTTACTTTCAAAGAATCAATTTTTTTTGGGAGATTTGATACTAAAAAATTGTTTATGTGCAGGGAGGATTTGCTGCCCTTGTTCGGTTTCTTGGAATGGTTTGATACGATACATTTTACGCTGTTTCGAGATTTCGTCGTAAATATATAATGAGGTAAATTTAATTAGTGTTACCTAGTTTTGAGGTGTTGTGGCAATGCTGCAGAATGTAGAGATGTGCTGTGTATATATACTTACTGTAAGGTAATATGTTTTAGGTTACATATTTTCTCTGCAGAAGCTGTGTATTACTTTACTTTGCAAACATTGGAGAGGTTTTTGGCTCAATTTCAAGTGTATTATAAATTTGAAAGATATGTTAGTATCATATAATATTGAAATTATCTTTGTATAGAGAATAAACTTTAATCTTATCTTTTTATTTATAAAAGTAATAAACATTAGGTCAATTTAAGAAATCCTAATGATATTTTTGTAATTATTTTTTCTACTAATTTTGAGAATTTCGTAAACGTCAATCTCCTATTTTTCACCCATTTTCTCTAATTACTCTGCAATGAAATATTTGAGTACATTATCTTTCATAACAACATACGAAATTTTCTCTCTCTTATAAATAGCATTGACCAAGGTAAAATCCATTATCAGAACGGCAACAAAAGCTATCCCATATCGTTACATTTTTTATTTTTTCTAGAATAAGAGAAATTTAATTTTTGAATTTTTAATAATAATAATAATAATAATAAATAAACAAAACTCACGAGCAAACTCATAACTTTTGAACTATTATACACTGAACACATTTTTCCTATTGCAATTGTTATTGTGGGTAAATTTCGGCCACCCATGAGGTAAGGTAAAATTACGAAAACCCCCTTTATGTTTGGCTAATTACAACTTCCATTCAAGTATGAATTTTCTTGCATGTCCATCCTTATGGTGTGAAATTCAACATAATCTTCTAGATTCCGTGGAGTGTCCTCTAGTTTGTACTCGTTTTGTGCAAAAATACAGTTTCTGATGCGCCACAATCTGATACTTACAAGCTAAGAGACAAATCTTATAATCATCTTGTTTTAAAATGTGGAGCTCAAATGAGGTAAAACGGGTACAAACTTGAGATAATTCCATATAATCTAGAAGATTACACTAAATTTGATACTGCAATGTTGGACGTGTAAGAAAATTCATAATTTTTTTTTTGACGAGAAAAGAAAATTCATAATTGAATGATGATCGTAATCACTGAAACATGAGGGTTTTTTTTGTAATTTCACCTTATGTCAAACTTATAATCATTTATTAATTATTCTTGGCCACGGTCAAGGCTTTTAGAGTTTAGACTTCACCCTCCAGACAGCAGCCATTTTATCTTCTGCCCTCTGCAATTCATCTCTCTCCTCTTTCTCTCTCTAGAAATCCCTATCCTTGTATAATTCCACATACTCTCTCATTTATCTGTTCACTCTATCGTTAATGGCCCATCTGGACCAAATCTCTTCTTGTACTAAAACATCACCAAAAATCCAATCAAAATATATATGGAAACCCTTTTTTTTATTAAGAAAAAAATATTAACAAGAGAGGAAGAGATACAAAAAGAGGTGTATGTATCTCTTCCTCTGTACAACCACACACACACATAAATACCCTCTTCTCTTCCTTATTTGGTTTTCTACCCTTTTCGGTTTCTCCCATTAAAACCTTCCCCAAAAAGAAAAAAAATTAAAGATTTATATATATATATATATATTTGCCCCCCGCCCCCCGCCCCCCGCCCCCCGCCCCCTCCCCCTCTTCTGAATTTTACAAAACCCTTGTTTTTCTATGTTAAAGATTGGATTTTTATTTATTGAGATTGTGTGTTCTTGAAATTCTGGGGTGAAGATGGACGTTTCTAACAAGAAGACGAAGAGGGCTTCCGTTAGTTTCGATCAACCTCGTACAATTGTTGATGATGACGCAAAAGCAAAGATCAAATATCAAACCCTTTTGACTGAATACTTGGAATTGCAAAAGGTTGGATTTTCTGTTTTTTTTTTTTATTTAATTAATTAATTTATTGTTTGAACAATTATTGACATGAATTTTATGATCTTGTGTACTGTGTTTTATTGTTTTTGTCTGAAATTGTTATCAGTTACTATTGATTAATTGAATTATGTTGTGTTTTAGAGATATATGGGATTCGAATGAATAATGTTGACTTGTATGAGGTTCGATTTTTTCTATTAGGCATTTGTTTCGAGCAAGAGGAAATTGCAGGCTGCAAAGCAAAAGAGGGAAACAGTTTTATCTGAAGTTAGGTATGATTTTCATTAAGCCACCAGTATAGGTATATAACTCTATATCGATAGCCGAATATGTAGCTCGGAAACTTAACTCGTCTATCTAACCTCTCGATTTTCAGATTCTTGAGGCGTAAGCGTAAGTATTTGTCGAAAACAAGAAATGAAGATGCACCTGAAAATTTCGATCAAGCTATCGTATCATGTTCATCTTCGGTAATAGAACAAGTTCAAAGATTGGATTTTTAGTATTTCTCTTCATTGGCTTTATTGAGTTTATTTATTTAACTTATTCTCATTGTATTATATTTCAGAAAAATGAAGAAGCACACGAAAATAAGCCGGTAAACGAAGAGAAGAATATTAGGCTTACAAAAAAGCCAAAGAATCGGATAATTCACGAGAAAGGCACGGGCAAACGGAAGATATCTTGGCCCGATCAAGTCACTTTGCAGGTCTAGTTCGGTGGCATTGCAGTGATAAAGAACTGAAATTATTCGAACAATTCGTAGTATATATATACATATATACTTAATTCGTAATTCACTTTTTTTTTTTATTTACTTGAGAATCACTGCAGATAGACTAACAAAAAGTCGAAGTCTTGGAATTTTTTCGAGACGAGATAGAAGCATTTTTGGCATCATAATTTTCAGTTTAATTTGTTATCACAATTTCTGTAATTTATATTGGATAAATCATAAATGCCAATTCTAACAGTTGAAGGTCAATTCCAGAAAAAATAAAAAATCAAAATATATAAATAAATAATTCTTACCACAATCACAAGCAAACATTTATATGAAGGTGATTGAAATCTTGATTTTTAGATATAAATTATCAAAGTCAAACCTGTAACAGTCAACACAAACTCTTCCAACAATTGCAAGTCAAGTGGAATATAAATTATATACATTTCAATATTAAAAAAAAACGAAAGAAATAAAAAATCTGAAGTTATAAATCTGCAGGCTTCGAATCGTCCTGCACTTCATCAGAAGCCGTTGACGACTTGTCAACCGAAGAAGCGCATGCTGACTCAGCACTAGGTTTCTTGAATTGCACCAAAATCATGGTCATGTTATCGCAGCCCTCCCCTCCAGCAGTCGAAGGTGCCAAACACCTGTCCATTACTTTTTCACATACCACCGAAAGCTTACTTTCCTGCAAACAAAACGAACATGTATACTTACATATATTCGAGCATTTCTTGATTTTTTAACCTATATCGATTCTCAAGGGAGATTTCCGTAATTTTCCGAGGAACCATGAGAGAGGTAGGTGTAATTTACCGGTCATTTAAACTCATGGATGTTATACAGGATGCATTATTGTTAGAAAAAAAAAAAAACCATAATTTCTTGCGACATATAGCAATATTAACCTACACCATAACAAGATAGCACCAACAAGATAGCACCAAAGAAACTTACGGATTTCAGCTGCTCGTGTATAAATTCTACTAGTTGCTGGCTCGACATGCAGTCCCTGAGGAAAAAAAACAAAGAATTAGAAATATATATTGGATATTGTAACTATATTAAGCAATAAACTACGATCAGATTGCATACCAAATGCCGTCACAAGCGAGCACGAGGAATTCATCATCGTTGCATAGTTCAACCTGGATCAGAGTTTGAGCACATAATCAATTGCTCACAGTCAAAAGTTTTATGATAGAGTCGGAATTATTACAATCTATTAGGCACAACACAATTACGTTTAAGAAAAGAAAAGAATATACATACAACGTTTATATCTGGATTGGCAGTAACAATTTGCTTTTCGGCAGGCAAGAACTTGTTCTGCTTGAATTCCATATCACCTGCAATATGTATAATTTAATTTCATGATTATAATATATATATATATATTTTTTTACGATAGTGTCTTATTAATAATTTAATATTCATCGATCATATAAGCTAAATTCGGACAGAACCTATAGCTCTTGCAAGGTTCAAACTGCCGTTGACTCGACCAGCATGGATAAAACCACCAGCTTTCAAGATTCTGTCTCTCTCCGCCTCGAGATCAGGCTTGTGGTCTCTCGAAAGGTTGTATGCCTAAACAAAACAAGAACCATAAACATATGAAATGACTAAAATACCCTTCTTGTTAACTGTCTTCATTAAGAGTAATAATGGCGAAAATGGGAAAAGTGAGTCGCACCTGTCCATTCCTAGAAATTACACATCGAGAATCACCAGCATTTGCAACAACAAGTTGGTTTTCTCGAACAATAGCAACACAAGCAGTGCAACCAGAAGTTGGTCCAGGAAAATCGGAATGTGGGCCCTGTACCAAATATAGTATGTTTTAAACTTAAACCATAAAATGAGAAACAATTAATAGTTTAAGGTGGCACTATCATAATTTGAGCAAGAAAATGGCAGAGCTAAGGTTCGATTAATTAACCTCTTCGAATGCCCAGTCATCAACTTGATCGGTTTTGTCACCACTTCTAGGTGACCATATCAAACCCTCGATCATGCCACTGAACTTGTTCATTTTATCCCCCAAAACGGCTAACTCCCTCCACCCTCTTTGACCGCGCATCATTTCATCCATCCTGCATTAAAAACGGGCCAATATTAAAAAAAAAAAGAAAAAAAAAGAACGAACTTTGTCAAGAACGGGGGACGAAGTTATTGACATAAATAGAGGTTTACGAATGACCTGAAAAATGATTTTAAAACGGACGTCCCTATGTCGCCAGCTGTATATGCTTCGTGTCTGAACACTTGTTGATGAAGGTACTTGGCACAAAATTTCGCCACCACCTTACCTAGAAATACCAAATCATTGCAATAAAAAAAACGTAAATCAGCAAATCACCGTTTTCTCAAGAATGCAGCTTTATGTGTAATTTAGACGAATAAAATAAAATCGGGGAAATCACACAAACACGTACCTCCATGACCATCGTAGACGCCAAAGAATGACGTAGAAGTATCCAAATCGGGAAGCGCTGCGTGCTGAAGGGAATATCGTAACATCATAATTTAAGCAGAGTTTGTATTATAGAGTGACGATTACAATTTGATTGACTACTTACGGCATCTTCCATTGTGGAACGCCATCCTTGCATGGAAGAAAGACCGAACCTAAGCCTATCGTTTTCGCCATCTTCCGAAAATTTCTCCGTTTTAGGAGTACTTAGGTATATACCCATATCAAACTGGCACAAACAAAAAACGAGTGTCACCGAAAATAGTTTTACTGATAATTGAAGAAATCACGAAATCGGCCAACATTTAATTATTCAATTTTCAGAGCTTCTAAATTTCGAAAACCGAGCCAATCGAGTTCAGCACCTCGAATACAGATAAAAATAACAGACGATAAAATTAACAATTAAAATTCAAAATCAAAGCAGCAGCAGCCTAAGTAACAGACTAACAGAATAGTACATAATCCTATTACTTAACATCTCACAATTCAGAGTAACTGACAAAAAATACATAAACAAATTATTCTAAAAAATAACTCGATTCTCGAAAATCGAGATCACTTCCAATCTATTATTCTCCAGCAAAAAAAAAACAACTCAACACATGCATATAAACTAGTAGCTAATTTGCTGTAATACAAACATTCAGTATAATATTTCAACCCAAAAAAAATGATTATGAACAGATAATAAAAATTCTCAGCAAATTTCTCAAAGATCAAAATCAGGATCGAGAAAATAAACCCAATAAATAATTATTTCTAATCAACTCGCTACACAAACGCAATAATTCCAACAGATAAAACCAAAATCCGAGATGGGTCGATGGAAATTTGATAAATTACATGATCAAACCAACAAATATTTCTGAATCTTGATTCGGGAAAGGCAACAATTGAGCTTGAAATCTGTCGACTACCAAAATCAAGAAGAATGAAGAGATACAGAGAGGCACGCGCACAAATTTATTGATGAGAGATAAAATGGATGTGATGAGGTGAGAGGGAATTAAAGATGAGTTTTTTATTTTTTGTTTAGTGTGTGGGAGTTTTCGATGACTCTTGAATAATCTATTTCTTGAAAGAGAGAAATCTCTTTTGAGCCCACTGTAATATATTCTGTTTAGCTGCTCAAAATGTTTTTTTTTTAATAAATTATTACACGGGTATTTCCACCGAATTTTTTTTTATAAATTATGAAAAAACCCCTGAAGTTAGGTTAAATTACAAAAAAATGCCCCCATCTATCTGTAAATACCAAAATTCCCGTTGACGTTGGCTTCCGTCTTATACCGATCCCTTTACAGTGTGATTTTTCACCTGATCTTTGTATTTTTCTTCTACAGGAACTTTTATTTTCTTCAACATCACATTGCAACATCAATAGACTTCCCCGATTGCTAATATGAACCATTATAGCATATATAATTAATTTTTAAAACAATGTGCATGGCTACCTTCAATATGTAGACATCTGCAGGGTTATATCAGATTTTTTCGTGGAATATTTCATAAAATGAAAAAAGATTACGTAAACAATTTGTACGGAGATATGTAAGACGAAAAAAAATAAGGGGATTAGGAGGTGGGGATGTGTTTTTCGTAACTTAACATAAGTTAAGGGTTTTTTTGTAATTTACCTTTTTTTCTCGAAAAATAAATAAATATTTAACGTGTTATGACTAAAACAATGTTTAAAGTTCAAACTAGGGTAGGTTAGTTGATTATCTTTTCTCTTGTTTCAATTTCCAATGTTCATAAAATATATCATAGTAAAATATTAAAATTAATGTAGGCCCAACTTTGGGTGTGATCCAAATTCATCTAGCTAATTAGTGATACAACATCACAAGCCACTTTTAAAAAAAAAAAAAAAAAAAAAAAAAACATCACAAGTGAAGGACATATATTAATCCACGTGGCATCCAGAATTATTTATTGGGTAAGTTCCACTTTACCCCCTTGTATTCTGGCTGGATATCACTTTACCCCCTTGTACTCTCAATTGCATCGATTTGCCCCTACGTACTTTGGTTCGATATCACTTTACCCCCTTCTACTCTCAATTCATCGATTTGCCCCCTTGTACTTTGGCTCGATATCATTTTACCCCCTTCTACTCTCAATTGCATTGTTTACCCCCCTTACTTGAAAAATTGTCTCAATGTGGCCCTCGCTGTTAGTTTTCAGACCTTTGACCTTAACACAGTTTGATTTAAGTATGAAAATTACTAAAATGTCACCCCTCCAGTTTAAATAATTATTAAAAAAATTAATAAAAATAAAAAATAAAAAACAACAAAAAATAAAATAATAAAAAATTCAAGACAGCGAGAAAACACAGTCCACGGCGCCAGCCACAATTTTCTTTTTTTCTTTTTTCTTTTTTCTTTTTTATTAATAATTATTTAAACTGGGAGGGGTGACTTTTTTGCAATTTTCAAACTTAGATCAAACGGTGTTAAAGTCAAATGTCTGAAAACTAACGGCAAGTGCCACATTGAGATAATTTTCAAGTACAGGGGGCAAATCGATGCAACTGAGAGTAGAAGGGGGTAAAGTGATATCGAGCCAAGGTACAAGGGGTAAAATCGATGAATTGAGAGTAGAAGGGGGTAAAGTGATATCGAACCAAAGTACTAGGGGGCAAATCGATGCAATTGAGAGTACGAGGGGGTAAAGTGATATCCAGCCAAAGTACAAGGGGGTAAAGTGGAATTTACCCTTAATTATTTATAATAATTGGGTAATTGGCATTTGCACCCCGAAATTATGCTGATTTGGCATTGCACCCTTAATATTAAAAATATGGTAGATAGCACCCTCAAATTAAGATTTGCTTGGCACATTGCACCCCAGGACACTTTTCTGCTAAAATTTGAGTCCGAAAAAATGATTTTACCATAATTCTATGGGCAAAATGGTGAATTATTGTTGATTACATCCGTAAATGAGGAACAATATAAATATTTTCTATAATTAAAAAGGTTGGTAGTGAATTTATTCACAAATTTACCCTTTCAATCCCCCAAAATCCCTTTATTCTACTAGTTTTAGGTTACGGGGTTTCGAGTTTCGGGTTTTCGAGTTTCGGGTTTCGGGTTTAAGGGTTATTCTACTATGCCAAGTAAATCTTAATTTGATGGTCCAACTTGTCATATTTAAGGGTGCAAAGTGAGAAATAAGCATAATTGGAGGGTGCAAAATGCCAATTACCCATAATAATTTGTTAAAATTAGATTTCGGCACCGCCGTGGAAAAAAAGTCGCCTCCCTCTCTCTCACTGCGCACGGCTTACTGAAGAACTTCTCTCCACTTTCCCACCGATCGTTCTTCCGCCTGTGATTTCTTCAAAATGGTAATGTTTTTCAACTCCATTTCTGTATCTTTCTCTCTCTAGATTGGGCTTGTGTAGGAAAAATGATTGCTGAATGTATCTATGACCTTTTCCCCCTTTTCTGATTTTTTAGGGTAAAAGTTTAAGGTATTTCAGATTATTCGATAATTGTGTTTCTTTTGTCATTGTGATCTATGCGTGATTAGTTTCTTCAGTCTTCTGTTAATTGAGCCTCATTTTGTTCCATGGATGAAATTCAGTATTTAGGGTTTCAGTTAACTATGATTCCACTTAAGAACTGTTTTTTTTTTCGGAGTTGTACTGGTGGATTCCATGATTATATGTTTTTTTGCATTGATTTTATTGGTTTACGGTATTGCAGTTTATCGTGTATTTTCTCGAGCTAGTTTCCGTAAGGAATTAGATTTATTTATTTTAATTGAAAAGGGCTTCTTGAAGAGGCTGTTATATTTCTGCTTCAGCTTTGATCTTTACGCGGTGTATTCCAACTTAATTGTAGTCGTTGAGTAGCAGCTCAATTGCTTTATATTTTCTCCTGTAGAAAAAACTTGACATCATTACGATCGGAAACTGTTTTAATATTAAGTTATTTGTTCGTTTCATTTCTTATCAACTCGTGTGGTTCTATGCAGTCTAACAGGCACACTATCATTCTCATGCAATCCTCCCAGCACAGAGCAACTCGTACTTTCATGGATTACGATTCGATCAGTCAAGCAATGGATGGTATGTAATTCCCTTTCAAGTTTCTGACTGTAACACTTCGATGTAATATAATTGTCTTGTGAAAGTTAACTAGTGAAGATAACATGTAACGGGTGATTTTGCATTTAAGACCATGATTACTTAACTGGATTGGCTGCTGTAATTAGTGCAATGATGTCTGCTAATATACGGCTTTAGTTCTATTTTACACTTTATTTTCATTCACTTTAGAAAACACTTGTGTGTTATCTTACATTTTTAAGTTATCTCGATAAATGGTTGACTTCTTGATTCTGTTAATATGTCAGTTATGCATGTGTTGTGGCTCTTAAGATCAACAGATTCAACACAATTAGGGGTTAGGACTATTAAAAAGTATCTAAGAAATCAGAAGTAACAATCGTGTTGCCTGTTGCATCTCCAAAAACTGGATTGCTTTATAGTAAATTCAGTGTGTTCTTTCATCAATAGTTGGATGCATTCTGCAATATGAAGATGAATGTCATGTTCTCATCCGATGTATACTTAACGCCGTTCCTGCAGGAATATGTGGACTTTACGAAAGGAAAATTAAGGAATTAAATCCAGCCACAAGAAACATCACTTATGATATTTCCGATCTGTACAATTTTATCGACGGGCTTGCTGATTTGAGTGCATTAGTGTAAGTCTCTCTCTCTCTCTCTCTCTCTCTCTCTCTCTCTCTCTCTCTCTCTCTCTCTCTCTCTCTCTCTCTCTCTCTCTCACACACACACACACACACACACACACACACACACACACACACACACACACACACACACACACACACACACACACACGGCTTAGAGACTATAACTCTCGATTAACCATATTGTAATCCTTGCCCCCGCTGTGCTGATGCAGATATGACCACTCAATTCAGGCTTACCTACCATACGATCGACAATGGATCAAGCAGAAGACACTGCAACACTTGAAAAAACTGGCTCAATGAAAGTAATATGTGCAGATAATCTCCTATTTGGCTATTGTACTTAAAAGACTGAAACTGCACAGCTCGAGTCAGTTCAACAACTTCCATTACAGTGTTCTCCAAGTTAAAACTTTTACAGTAATGGTAGTGCCACCTGGCCGAGACCAGCGTCGTAATCATATTGTTATATCAGAACAGTATTTAGTGTGTCCCAAAAATGGCAGCTCTTGATACATTCGCCAATTTCTCATTACAGATTATGTGTTACTTTTGTAATCAAATGACTTAAAGAGTATTTTTGTGTAATTCGCCTCGTTTTTTCTCTACAAACTGTATGCAACAAGCTCAAATCTACGAGACCAATATATTTACAAATTACGAGCCACGCCCCAGCTTTCTAAGCAGCCATTTCTTCCTGAGAGAGGCATCCAGGGCTAAAAACGTCTTTGCCTTCCTCTCATCCTCCAACAGATCACAACCGTCCAATAAGATCTCGTCATCTATATCAGGTATGGCTTGGAGAGCATCTATAGCACTCTCTAATGCAGAGTAATTATTCCCTACACTTGTGGTGTTGGTAATATCCCCGTGCACCTTTTTCTTCTCCCCTGTTTTTTGTGATTTAATTCGACACTCCAAAGCTATAGGCGTAGATGGTGGCCGTTTCTTCGCTTGATCGTATATCTCACTTTCCAAAAATGCCCCTGAAAAATCTCCCGAGTATTCATCAATTTTGATGTTTATAGGAAGGTCACACATCAATTTTGTGTCAACTAATTCACTTGTCCCGAAAATACTACACAATTCACCGTAATATCCAATGACTTTATCTCTATATGAAATTGCCTCTGGATTCTCCTGCAGAAAAAAAAAACATTTAAATAAGATGTATTTTATTTTCATTTGATACAAAAAATAAAAATAAAAATGCAGTACCTTGGTGTACGATTCCCAAGTTTCGATGCCAGCTGTAATTGTCTGTGTAGATTCATCCCACATGAAACCTTGTTGATTGAGGATGTTAGTGATTTCAATATATTGTTTCATTAAACTCAAACGACGAGTTTCTAGAAAGTTCTGCTCGTATTGTGGACCGAAGTTTTCTTTAAATGACAGAGTGATGTGAAACCAAGCTTGCTCGCTAAATTCATTATCGATCTTATTACCATTTTGCACCTGCTCCAACATAAGGTCGAGAAAATAACGTTCCATTTGCGGTGTCCAATCTATTACGAAATTTGCACCAGCATCAGCTTCTTCTTCGTTCCCATTGCCTATTATAAAAAGAAAAAAAAAATACGTATTTAAAAGCTGCTATTTTCAGACAAAATCGATAGGTAACAATTTATGTAAGAAGAGATAAAAACTATTTTTGTATCCTTGGGCGAGACTAAGGGTGTAAATTTGTAAATTGAAACTTCGGAAAAATTCTAATTTTTTTTCGGATGTGGAAAACTAATTATAAAATATGTTTACAAAAAAAAATCGGAAAAAGGGAATTTTGATTATTGGAATTTATTTTTATCGAAATCGGCGGAATCCAAAAATTCCAATTTTTTGGTCGCCTATAATACAAAACTCCGAGTGAAGAAAGAGTACCTATTTCCACACAAGAACTTCCAACAGCTGGATCCATGCTGTCAACGAGACGTACATACGACCCGTCAAACTTATCTTGTCCATATATTACGCGTAATTTGTGATAACATGGCACAGTCTTAACTCTGTATGACCTGGCATCTGGATGTGCCTGCAGAAATTATACGCGGCAAAAGAGAATAAAAAATAGATTCCATTTTATACGGTACGAGGTAAGAAAAAAAATAGACGTAAACCTTAATATAAGCATCCCAAACGTGATTTTCAGCTGTCACCATTTCTCGGCTTTCGTCCCATAAAAAGCCACTGTGCTGTAAGAGGATGCTGACATCATTGTACTGTTTCTTGAAATGCTTGTATCTATTTTTCAAAACTTCTTTATCGTGACTGGATTCGAAGTTTGCGTTGAATGATTCGACCATTTCTTTCCATGCTTGGGTGATAAATGACAGCCCGATTCGATTTCCTCTGTGTACTTGCTCGAGCATTAACTCGATAAGAAAACGGTCCATTGGTGGGGTCCAGTATGTTCTAGAACGCTCATTGCCTGCATGTTTCCGAAAATATTCAAGAAATACTAATTAGGGCAAAGAGGGAAATGCATTTAAAGTGGCTATAAGATGTCGAATAGAAATTGACGCAGCACAGAAGCATGAAAAAGAATGAATTTCTAAAACAAGGTAAACTCGGAAATCAGCGTAAAATGAAGAGACAATTATCTGAAAATTTATTAACTTCGAAAATTAGCAGATCGGAATTAGCACTTTCGGAAATGGAAAACTAATTCCAATTTCGTTAAAAAAAATTGAAAAAATAAAGAAACTTGTTCCAAACTCGAAATTTTATTGAAATCGGGGGAATTTAGAAATTCCAATTTTCTAGTCACCTATAATACAAAGCACTAATAATATTGAAATTAAAAGTGTAATTTTCGGAAAATAATCAGATTTTTTTTTTTAAATATTTTCGAGAATTAAAATCGGATCAGAAATCGGAATCTAATATGTATTTCAATTTCATTAAAAAAAACCCACAAAACCGGAATCGGAACTTTCGGGATGCGAAATTCCATTCCAGTTTCCACCCCTACACTTATTTATAACGTTGAAAAATAATAAAGACCTAAATAGGACTAAAATTAATACAATTTACGGAATTCCAAATTGATAACAATAGCGATTTTATTTATTTATTTTCATAGTAAAGAAAGTTGAAACAAACCACCTTTTGCAACTACAACTTCACTTTTAGCATCGCTTCGGCTTTCCTTACAGACCATCTCCCCAAATACCAACGCCAGCTTGTTATAGCTTCGAAAGACTTTGTCTCTATAAAATCGAGCATGTGCATGTGCCTACATTCACAACGTAAATCCATCGAACAATTTAAAAAAATAATTAAAAAATTTGCTGCTTTTGAGGATAATAAATTATTATTATTATTAGCAAGTAACGTACCTTTAAATACGAATCCCAAACATCACCATCAGCCATCACCATTTCCCGTTTCTCGTCCCAACAGAAACCTTCTTGTTTAACCAATGTCATTAAATCGCTATAATACTTCCACAATTTTCTATATCGGTGCCTCAAAACTCGTTTATTACAATCGGATCCAAATTTTGCATTAAAAAACGCGAGCATATCAGTCCATGCTTGCCTTGTGAACGTATTTTCGAGCTTATTGCCTCTTTCTTTCTGTTGCAACATCAGCTCCATGAAGTATTGGTCCATATCCGGGGTCCACTCTGTCCTCGAACTACACGAAGGAGCTACGCTACTGTTACAGTCACCTGTCACAGTCCACTCTTAGTTTTCTTTTTCATAATAAACAATTGTCTTATATTAGCCATACCAAAAAAAAAAAGAAAAAAAAAAGATAAAAACACACACACACACACCAAAGCTCGCTCCTTGGATATCATAGTCAGCATCTACATCATGACTTGATCGACTGTATCTGCCGTCGGCAACTGTATAACCATATATCAAACACAAATCGTCGAAATTGAGCACGGGTTTTGTTTTGTAAGGCCTTGCTTCTGGATGAATCTGCATGCAATAATATAATTTAATTAAAAAAAATGCAGATCAATATACATTGTAGAGTAAATATCGGAAAAAGTTTTACGCACCTTGATATACGTGTCCCACACGTAATCATCAGCCACCACCATTTGCTTAGTTTCGTCCCAAGAAAATCCATTCTGGCTAAGGATATTTTTAATATCATTAAATAATTTCCACAGATTCGTGTAACGGCCTTTCAACACATCTTTGTCGTACTGCGATCCGAATTTCGAATTGAAGACAGCTAGCATATCCGTCCAGGCTTGCTTATTAAACGTGTGGCCGATTCTATTTCCTCTGTGGACATGCTCTAACATGAGATCGATAAAGTATCGTTCCATTGTCGGCGTCCAGTATGTTCTAGAACAATGATTGCTCAGAGAGTTTTGGCAACTCATTTTCACTCTGCAGACCGAAAATCACGTGAACACATTTGCCCAGAGTTCGAAATATACCAACATTCGTATTCAAACAGCACACAAGAATCGCTTTACGCATTATATGAATATCGGAATAGTTTTATTTTACCATATATCATCTGACACAGGTGATCATAACTCATAAGGTAATCTCTTGTAAATGCAATACCATTAAATAATCCTTTTGTTTGTTCATCACAGAACTCAACTTGCTTTTTAATGTCTGAACCCAGACAACAAATCATAGGATGCCTTGTAGCAAGTTTCAAAAGATCGAATTTTTATTTTTTTTTATTTTTTTTAACCAAAGATTAAACCAAACCCACAAATGAAGAACAAGACAATAGAGATGGGTTCCATGAATTTTCACTCCTCGACATATTTCTTCAAATAGAAACTGAAGCATTTTGTAAACGAATTCACTCTAAAATGGAAATTTAATTTCTTGAAAAAAAACAGCAGTAAAAACGGGTTTATGAGTGGGAATTTCACCAGATAAAAAAAGAAAAAGGAAGAAAGAAAATTGAAATTGAAGAGATGGGTTTACAATGTTTACCTGTTGTTTGGTTCGGCGATTAAAGGAGAAGGTTGCTTGGAGGAGAACGTGAATTTGGGAGCGATTGGTAAAGGGAGAAACCCTAATCCGGAATAGGGGCCAAACTTTGTCAAACCGGTTTGTTTAGCGGAAATTACTAAAAAGTCGTAATTAAAAAAGTTATATCCAAAAAAACCCCAAAAAAGATTTTTCTTTCCAAAATATCCCATGATAAAAATGTTTATACTGATTAAGTGCTAATTCTTGAAAGTTGGGGGTGTTTGCAAATATTCTGGAAAATAAACTTAAATAGTTACATAATTTTTTAATAAAATTATATTTTTTTATATCACGATTTATGTCTAATTATTTTATTTTATTTACATTCATGTAGTAGTTAAAATTAATATCTAATTTTATGCATGTTAAGCCATAGTTATAATTTAAATAATATTTAAAATGTTACAATTTCATGATTACAATTTTATAGTCCCTTTCGAATTTTACTTAAAATTCTGGTTCCGACTATAATAATCAGGTCTAAGAGATGCTACACTAAATAAAATACAGCGAGTAATTTTAAATCATAGATAATATACATTATCATCATTGCACATTATGAAAGTAAAGTAACTCTGCAATATTATATTGATTGTGAATGTATAATATATAAGAAAATGAAAGAATACAATTGATTAAAAAAATAAAATAAAAATAAGTATCCTCAAGAAATCTGTATATTGTGTAAATAATAAGCCTATGTGTATATATCTTTCAAAATTCTTCCTACATATAACAATGCAAATAAAATCTATCTACCATCGGAATCCGAGCTACGAACAAGAGAAACGAGCTCGACATTTTCATTTTCTCGATTTTCTTCATCGACCACTTTTAAATTCAAAACCTCATCCGAGAGAATCGCAGAATTCGGATCACCCTTCGGAACCAAAAACAGCAGAAAAAGCGGACTAATCCTCAACAAATTCCTCACCAAAACAGCCACCCACAAATTACCAAACTCCGTCCTCGTAACCTTCAACACGCGAAGCAACAAACCCCCAAACCAAGAGGAAGTGAGAAGGCCAAAGTTGTCGATCGACATTAGCAACGCGAAAAAGGTGCCCTCGATGCCAGCTGGACACAGCTTCGAGCTCAGGACAAGAAGCGGCATCCATTTGAGCCGCCCGATCAACTGCGACACGCTGGCATCGATCACAACGAAGAAATAATCGGGTATTCCTAATTTTAAATTCCACCTAAGCACGAGTGCTAAATCGAGCATTCCGGATAGGCAAGATAGTATTTGGGCCCACATGAGTAGATCTCGAAAAGGGCAGTTTTTAAGCCCGTATTGGTATAATATAGCTCCAAGAAGTGAGCCTATCGAGCCGATTGCCATTACATAACCAATTATTTCCTGTGTTAGCAAAAAGATCGATTTATTAGTAACATTTCGGATCGTTTTAAAGATGATACATTATCTTCATTCTTGAAAATAAACACAATCGGGATTTCTTGAAAAAAAAATTACAAATATATACCTTAGAAAACGATGGACCGTCTTTTGAATCTGTTGCCCAATAGAACATACCCTCGGAAATACTTAGAGACAACGAAAATGATAGATACATGTATAGACACGGCCTCCACACTTCGGGGCATTTCAACGTCTTCCACATCGATTTACCAGCTTTGAGAAAGTTCTGGTTCATCTGATTCCCAAAAAAAATAAAAAATAAAATCAAGAATTAGACATTTTCTTTTCTTGATTGATTAAATCCCAAATATGTAATAAGAATGTGTGTATGTGTGTGTGTGTGTGTGTGTGTGTGTACCACACCTGTTCGTAAGGAAAGTTAGATATTCGATTTTCTTTGAGGAGAAGACCAACTAATAACACGAGCCAAGCTGGTATTGTCAACAAGCCAAACACCCCCTTTAATTCAAAAAACGAAGTAAAAAACAAATTAAAAAAAAAAAATCATTTTTCAAAATCTTGTAATAATTTCCAAGGATGAAAGAATATGAGCATTTTCTAACCTGGGGTCCGATTAAGTGAACAAAGATACCACTAAAAGAAAATCCGACGAGCGAACCAATGGCAGCACTCAAAGCACACAAGCTTTGGATGTCGGCTGCTAAAGAAGGATGGATCCCACTTTTCTGCGCTACACATGCATCGACAGTGACATCAGCAATCGCCACACTGGCACTGCCAGCTGTCAACGAAAGCAGTGCCAATACTATGTGAACTTCCTTGTGAATGGATACGAAAAGCATGGCAAAGACTCCCATGAAACCTGAAAAACGAAAACTTCAATCATGAACAAAAAATTGAATACTCTGTCAATTTAGGAACATGTTGATAAAGAAACGTCTGTGATGGCTGTCGATAAAAAAATGGCAGATAAGAAAATGATCGATTTTTTTTTTCGTTTTTTTCTCCAAGAAACACCCTTCACAAGCACTTTCCTATATCACTGCACAAAATAAAAGGAAAAAAAAAATAGCCTTCAAGAATTCTATTGTATCACTCTGTATAACGGAGTTTCATGATTCTATATCCGAGCTGTTTTTCTTAACAGGGCCCTTCTAATTCTCGGTTAGCCTAATTTGATCCATCTGTGCGTCATGAGATATGACGGAAATGGATACTGGGGGTGGAAATCGATGGATCAGATCGGAATTAGCACTTTCGGAAAAAGATATCCGATTTTTTATCGGAAGTGAAAAACTAATTCCAATTTCGTTCAAAAAAAAAAAAAAGGGAAAATCGGAATCTCATATTTATTCCATTTCAAATCCAAAAAAAATTGGAAAAGTTGGAGTCGGAACATGTAACGAAAAATACTGTTCCAAAATCGGAAAATTTCAAATCGGGATCATGAATCAACGGGAATCGGAAATTCCATTCCCATTTCCACCCCTAACGGATACACTACATTACCCTTCTCCTACCCAAAATCAGTTCATCGAGAAGTACGCATTACACGAACACACACGAGATACAAATACGAACGGCATCAACAGAAAAAAAACCCGAAAACTGTACAATCAGAGCACAACTAAATCAGGTAAAGCACAAATTGAGACAACAAAAGAAAGGATAATAATTAGAGCACACATTTTCAATTACCAGCAAAGAGGAAATAAGGTTTCCGATGATACCCGAAAACCGGAACAACATCTGTAAGAAGGCCCCAAATAGGTTTAACAATCCAAGGAATCGAAGTGATCCCAGAGTAAAACTGTGCATCAGATGGCTGCACTTTCTGCACATCCTTCATGTAATACTCTGTCCCCACCATAGCCAGAGCTCCACCTAGCCCTTGGCTCATGCCGTACACGATCACTACCCCAAACACAAAGCTCCAATGCAATTCTTTCGCCAGCATTCTGAACCAGTAAATCGGGCCGCAGACACAGGTTCGGGCCCCATTTTCGGGCTTCGAGTGAATCTCCTCCGCTCCATCTCTCTGAGTTGGGAGTCTCTCTTCCTCCCCCATCATTTACGAAATCTAACTAGAGACCAGATTTTGTGAAGTGGGTTCTTCGAAAAAGTCAAACTTTTTACAAGATAAATGGAGATCTTGATTTTTTTTACTTGAATCTAATAAGTGGGTTTTTGGTTGCTGGTTGAAAGCTAGTGCTACATAATTCAAGAATCAAGAAATTTGGATGAAGAAGATGTGGATTGAAGTTGTCTGAAGAAAAGTTTGAAACTTTGAAATTATACAATTAATCCTCATTGGTCGGAGGGTGCTTGTTCAAGATTCTCTCTCTCTCTCTCTCTCTCTCTCTCTCTCCTCTACTTTCTCTCTCTAGAAAAAGTAGAATAATGTCAAAATAATCAAGCAGGTAAGAGGGAATTCCAAGGTAGCAGAGTAGGTAAGCTCGATTTAACGAATGAAAAATATGAAATGGGATTAATTACTTTGACGATGCTTAAATCGTAATTAATCTATTTAACAGTACTGTAGATTGTCGGTGTCGAGCAGTTACTGATTTAATATATATATTTAAAGCTGGAATTTGTTTTCTTCTGCGAGAGTGGGGATTTTTGCAAAAACCACCCTTGTGTAATCTCGAATTGCCGAAAAAACCCTTGTGTTAAATAAATTGGCAAAAAACCCCCTATGAAAATTAGTCAAAGGCAGTAAGAACCTTGACAGCTTATCGTGTGTTATACGCGCGGATTTTGCGCCTGTGTGTGTATTTTTTACCTTAGAAAGACCAAAATATCCTTTCAATTATAAAATTCAGAAATTACAAATTCACCCCAGAAAAATTAAGCCCCAAATGAAGTTTTCTAAACTTTTCAATTAAGTCCTTAGCACTTCCAGAAAAGCCATCTTCTCCAAATTAACCCAATTTTTTTTCTTCAGGAGATGTAAATACTTGAACTCTGTAAAAACTATTTGCACATGGACAACTTCAAAACAAACGATAAAAACATAGAGTAGCCATGGAAACCAACCAAAGAACGGAAACTGAAAACTTGATCACAAAATTACTAAACAGAACCGCCACCACCGCAGGAAGAGTAGCCACAGTCACCACCGTAACCCCCTCCACCACGGCCGCCGCCATTACAACCTCCCTTCGACACCCATATCCACGCGCATCGTCGGAGACGATTTCAGTTACTCGTAAACGGTGGTTTTGCCTCGTGTGCGGCGGCGGATGTACCATTTCAAATTTTCAATAGAGAGTTGTTTGGTTTTAGGTTGGGGGGAGAGCAGGAGACGGTGTGGGTGGTGTGGGGGAGATGAATCTCTCTCCTTTTTCTTTTTTATTTATTTTCTTTTTTGGGATCTTATTTTCAATTTTTTTTGGTTGTGTTTTGTTTTATATTTAAGGAAGGGTAATTTTGTCATTTCGTCTAAGTCAACTGTAGAAACCAAAATAAGGGGCAGTATGCTTCGTAGAAAATAACATAGGGGGGTTCTTGCTAATTTATTTAATACGATGGTGTTTTTGGCAATTAGAAATTACACAGGGGGTTATGTGCAATTAGCTCGCGAGAGTGTAATAAAATTGTCATGTTAATTATTATATATGGAAATTTACGAAAAAGCCCCTGAGTTAAAGCTTAAATACAAAAATCCCCTCGTACTTGTGTAATTACGGAAATCTTCCTTTGACCGGTGTTTGACCGTTTAATTTACACAAAATATGTTTTGTCTGTTTTACCCTTATATTATTCGAAAAAATAACTAAATTAAAGACATTAAAAATTTAGTTTTATTAAAATATCCAATAATATTTATATACATATGTATAAATTTTGACAATATTTTCTCTAAATTTACTTCTACAACTTATTAAAGCTCAGTTGTGAGATTAGTGACAGAAAGTCAGTAACCTACAGTTGAAAGATAACAAAATTTGCATTTGGTTACTGATTAATAACTATCAAACAAACCAATGAATTTTTTATTTATTTAATTATTATTTAGTTACAAAAAACTACATAAAGATTAATTCTCTTTATATCACATACAAAAATTTGCCATGCTAGAAGAGCTTGAATAACACATTTGCATCATCATCGATTTTTTAGAGGTAGATAAATCAACGACTTCAAATCGTTCATTATTTCTTCTTGCGGGGACGTGAATTCGTCGCCGCAAGAGTAGACGTACTGTGTAATCTTGCTCGTGTTCAAGAACACGTCTTTGCATTTCCTAGGAAGAACGGTTCCTCTTTCGTACACGAGCCGCAACACTTTTCTCCTATGGTATTCAACAATTTCGGTTATCTTTGCAATAATTGCGGCCCCGTCGTCTTTATTACCACCGGCTTCTTTCAGAAGGCTTATTGCGTTTAACTTCCCGTCTTCGTCTTTCTCCCTCTGTCGAAACACATTCATTTCATCTTTCGCATTTTTCCCCAACTTTTACGTAAGACGGTGATTTTTTTTTTTGTTACGGAGAAATTATAATTTACCTGAAAAGTTCCGACATCGTTGAAAAGCCGGTCAATGGTAGAAACATGGATGCACAAGTCAGTACACTCCGAACTGAGAACCATTTCATCCGATAATTTTATACCGATGAAATGGATCGCTGTGAGTACGCAAATTCTGCTACCGATCGTCACCCAACTAAACGACAAGTACTCATCCAACGTTACCGCAGCTCCTTCATGCCACATATTCAATTCTTTCATGAAAATTGTTACGATTTCAACCCACTGCTCTTACAAGAAACACTCGGATATTAGTTCGTTAATAATTAAAAAAAATAAAAAATATCTGTTATAATTAGAATTAAGTACGGCTCGAAAAACGAAAGGGAGACGAGAATGTAAGTACCATGCCGATGAAAAATTGCTTAACGCAACGGCCTTGCTGCAAAGACGCCTTTTCTGCTAAATCGTTTACCGTGTTGTACACTGCTGTAAAGAGAATCTCAACTTGCTTCGAACCGTATTCGGCAGCCGGCTTCTCTTTCCACCTATTATTAGTCCACGAAATTCGTACAATATATCACATAACTTACAAAAAGAAGGAAAATAAACGAACATAAGATAAACAATTATATACGACTTAAAACAGAGAGAAACGAACATACTCTTGTATTAATTGTAGGAACTTCTGCGATTCTTCTCTAGAACCATGCACATCGAATAAGTCATCGACACATGTTACGAGCACGAGAGTTTTGGTAGAGGATAAACGCGCATCGGAGAGTTGAGGGTCGCCGAAAGCTGCTGCAGTTAGAAAATGGGAAATATGTAGTACGTCTCGTCTCGAGTTCAACTGGTCCAACCTACAATCCGTGTACCACCTGTACGTACACATAGGTTTCGGTTTAACGATACGTTAATTACGTATTTGCCCTTTTATTATAAATGTATCGCTTTATTCTACGTGGCGGCGGAGATAATATATACACACCTCTCCAATTGTTGAAGCTCTTTCTGGTTTAGAGCTTGGCAACTATTGAAATCTTGGCTCGAAAGTACGAGATAATCTTCGTTATATACCGCGGGGCACCTGTATATATACGAGAAGAAACATGTCGAAAAATAAATTATCGATTTATTCACGGATTTTTTTTTAAGTTTTGAGATCTTTAACTACCTATACGCAGTTTTCATAATTTGGTAACCATCCACATCATATAGATCAAGGCTTCGTTTATTTCTAATCCGATCAAGTACGCCATGGGAGTTCTTCAACTCGTATTCCACCTTGATATATATATATTTGAGTACAGTTATATACTTCCGGGAAGAAGAAAAAAAACGGCGAAAAATGTGCGGTGAATACGATTTTGTAGCAAATCACCTGTTTATGCAATTTCTTGTCGGGAATGGTTTTACCGAGCAACTGCTGCTTCAGATATTTGGTGGTCCAATTACTTACAGCCTCGAGAGTTGTTTCGTCTTCATACATTCGTATCTGCGATGCTCTGTAGAGCTCAAAAACCGTACGGACGCCATTTGTTTTCAAGCTAACGTGATCTTGCTCGGCGTACGGAGCCAATTCATCTAAAAAAAATTAATCGTTTATTATTTCTGAATACGTACGTATACGGATTAATCTAAAAACGGAAAGAACTCAGTACCTGAAGAAGCTTCAAATCCTTTGATTCGCAACAGTCGAAATGCCACCGCGCAGCAAGTTACGTCGGCGAAAATCTCTTCTTCTTTCTGCTGCCATAATCTGTTCGACAGCACATACTATGAATAAAAAATGGAATTTTCAAATTATGTTTTGCACGAAAAACGAATAAAATCACCTGTAAGTTTCTTCCAGAATACTATCGATTTCGGATTCAAAGTGTCGCTCTATTCCCAACGCTTGGATGGTATCGACCAAGCAGAGACGAGTATATACATTCAACGGATGAATTGTTGGCACTAGGGATTTCAAAAAAATACAAAAAAAATTCAAAAAATCGGTTATTTACGAAACAATTATTTACGCATTTAACATCGATTTCAAACAATTCGAAGTATTAATATCTTTGAAATATACATTTCTTCATCAAATATCCCTTCAAGTAAGAAAACCTTCCTATATTCATCAAATAGTTTTGTTTTATTAAAAAAAAAAGTAAATAATTTTACATAATTAAGTAAAAAAAATATCTTAATGATATAGTACTAAAACTTAAAATAAATAATAACTGATATGATTTACCACAATTATTGAAACTTTTGAGAAGTGATTCCAAATACTGGAAGCACTTATTGTTGCCTTGACTGTAAATAAGAGCAGCTGCAGTAGTGGCTGGAGAATTGAAAAGTGAACCATTACTTCTTTGTTTCGTCAATACGACATCGTTCCAATCGAACGACTCTCCGATTCCTTCGGCAATATATCCCAACGAATTCGGGTTTCCTTCACTACCATCATAATATAAACACAATGTTTACACATATAGTCACATGAACTAATTATATAAAGATTTTCACTATATGTATATAATGTATATATACTCACCTCTTAATTTGCGAGTCTCGGTTTAGAATCATGGAATCAAGTAAATCACGGTCAAAAGGCAGAATCAAATCCAGTTGATTAGCGTAGTTGATCATCGTCGGAAAAATAACATCGAAACCAACCGGAGAAAATTGATCTTTGTCGGTAGCAGCCCAACTATTTGCTCTTATGAATTCCAATCCTGGAAAATTTAATTAATTTATCTTCATTTATCAGTTAGTTCCACAAACCATGATTACAAAACATTCAATCTGATAAACTATAACACTTACAAGTTTGAAAAAAAAAAATATTTATGGGTAAATTACAAAAATACCCCTGAACTTAGACTAAACTACATTAAACGCCCCAACCTATTCGTAATTATCAAAATCCCTTAAAAATTTGTTTCCATCTTACATTGAACCCCTCGCAGTGTAATTTTTCACAATCTATTTTTTTTTTTTGATTCAAGGGAATATTTTACGAAAAGTGTTGATTCTATTCCTGCAGAAGTGACATTTCTTTATGCAACTTTTTAAAGACAAAAATTATCTTCGAAGCGGTTATTTAATAAGAATAAATATTTCGTACAAGGGTAATCTTTGTCTTTAAAAAGTAGCATAAAGAAATGCCATATTTGCAAAGGGTAGAATTGACATTTTTTTAGAAATATTACGTGGGAAAAAAAAATTCTGTGAAAAATCACACCTAAGACGAAAACAAATGTAGGGAAAATTTGGTAACTACGAATAGATGGATGCATTTTTTGTAATTTAGCCTAAGTTGAGGGGAATTTTCGTAATTATCCAAAATATTTATATCAACATAGACCAATTAATCTAACCTTTGAGGAGTTGTTCATGGCCAAAGTTCCATTTCTTCAAGGCAAGCAAGCAAGCGAGTGTGCAAGAAAGAGAGTCTTTAACCAAATACGGGTGACCCGGATCCAGACCCCACGACCCATCCGGGTTCTGGTTTCGGATAATCCAATCCAAACACTCGGGAAAACACGGCTTCTCGCCGCCGCCGGAATATTCCCTCTCCGGCACCATCGCCACCCACGCAGTGTCGTACGCGGACGGAGATATCTCGACGTTTCCATTATCGGCAATCCTCTCTCTTATTCTTCCGATTGATTCTTGTAAGCTCTACACACATCACGAAAGTAAATCGACGAAAATAAATAGATAAATAAATAAATTAATTGAAGAAGAATCTCAGAAGCAGTAGTTAGTTAGTTAGTTAGTTACCGTTGAGTTGTTATGATTGAGGCCGCTGCTGCTGCTGCATCTGAGACGAGTGGGGAATTTATGTGAAGCAAAAGTCAGTCGAAAACCATGGTGATGTGAGAAAGCGAAAACTGCGGGTTTCAACCAGAGTGACGTCATTTTTTTTTTTAAATCAGTGGTTCATATTACATAATATTAACCTTAGCTCCATTGATTCTAAGATATGTGTGAACGTAAGTTGGCCGACAGGTTTCACGGTTGAGGGTGGATGTTTGTCTGATTGCGTGGACTAGAAAAAAAAAAGTGAAGTAGTAAATGTCTAATTTACCCTTAGATCTGTAAAAACAAGGGTAACTGTAAAAACTGTCCCTGTGTATTTTCGACATGGTAGAAAATCCCCTGTAGTAGAAGGACAAAATTACCCTAAAGCAAAATAATATAAAATTAGAAATAACATAAATAGAGTCCAAATTGAATTAAAAAAATAAAAGAAAAAGGAATAGAGGCCAAATTGCAATTTAACTAAATTTCTAAAACTTAAATTAGGGACTTGATTGCAATGAACAATACATTAACCTAGCTATTTGAGTGGAGTACTTACTTTTATGGATTAATTTCATGTAACATGTTTTCTTATAATTAATTATCAACATCCTTTTTACGAGTATGGATTTTGAAACGAGGAAAACGAAAAAAACAAGAAATTAAATCATTCATATCCTAAAATTTTATTCAAACATTATTGAATCACGTCGAAAAAAATAGGTACAGCTCAAAGGGGCTCGGAAATCAATCCATTAATATCGTTAGCGATGTCGATAGGGGACGAGAATTCGTCTCCACCTTCGTGGGAGTATAAGCAATGAGCAATCTTGCATGTCTTCCAAAATAATTCTTTACATTCTCTAGGAACTACACTTCCTTTTCTTTTATAAACCATTTGCAGCACTTTTCTCCGATTGTACTCGATAATTTCTTCGACTTTCAAAATCGCATCCTCTTCTGAAATGCCTCCGTCAACTGTTTGCACATTCACACTGTTTAGCGCCCCTTCTTCGTGTTCCTTCTGCCAAATAATACTTTAATTATTAATTATTATGTTTTTTGAAGAAATTCAACATTTAATTAACTTTTTTTTTCTTTTTTTTTTTTTTGTGTACCTTAAAAGTCTTGAGATCGTTGAGAAGTCGGCAAACGAGAGAAGAATGCTGGCACAAACTAGTGAACTCTGTAGACGTAAAAATGTCCTCAGTTATTTTTATACCTAGAAAATGGACCGAAGTGAAAACACACAGTTTGCAGCCGACGCTTTTCCATGCAAAAGACAAGTACTCGTCTAGGGTTGATACATAATCAATATTCTCACTCCACGAATCCTTTTCTCTCGTAAAACTTGCTAGTAGCTCGAGCCACTGAGCTAGACAAGAAAACGAGAATCATGAAATGAAATTGAAAATTTGAAATAAACCATATAGTATTCAGTGGTATCAAGAAATATAAATAACCATGCTGACTAGATCATGTTCAACATAATAGCCTTGCTTGTCATAAGCCTTTTCTGCAACTTCATTCACTGTGTTGTACAGTGCCGTAAACAGAATGTCGACTTCTTGGGAGCAATAACTCGTTTCTGGATGCACATTCCAACTATATATAATAATCCAAGAAAACTGTATCATATATATGTATGCATGCATGGAATATACATATACTGAATAGTGAATAGTGAATAGTAAGTGTTCATCACGTACTTGCTTACTAATTCGATAATAGAGAACGCTTCTTCTCTAGATCCATAAAGATCGAAAAAGTCATCGAAGCACGATATCAGAACAACAACTTGAGCATAAGATATTCGAGCCAAAGATAGTTCTGGACCAACAATAACCGCTGCAGTCAAAATGTAAGAAATTCGCAATATTTTCCTTCCTTGGTTTAAGCGATCCAACCTGCATTCAACATACCACCTGCCTTTTTTTTTTTTTAGGGGGGGGGGTTGGGGGGTAGGAGTGGGGGTTAGATATGTTAGTTTATTAAAATAATAAAAAGAGCATCTTTCATTTAACGTAATACCTCTCCATTTGTTGAAGTTCTTCTTGGTGTCGAGATTGGGAGATTCTGAAATTCTGTACCGAAAATAGAATAAAGTCGTCATTATGAACTGTGGGGCACCTAAACAGAGAAAGAAAAACAGGGTAAAGATCATAAATCAGTGGTGTATCGATTATAAATTTGAATTAATATTACCTGTATGCTGTTTTCAGAATTTGAAAATCTTGAGCACCGTATAGCTCAATGCTTCGTCTAATTCCAAATTGATCTAGTGTGCCGTAAAAGTTCTTCAAGTCATAATCCACCTTGCAAATTACAAAAAAGGAAAATTAATTAGTATTTACAAGAAGATTTTAATTGTTTTGTAATTTGTTTCTTAACTATCACCTGCTTCTGTAATCGTTTGTTAAGAATGGTTTGGTTTAGCAACTGCTGCTTCAGAAATTGACTAGTCCAAGCATGAATTTTCTCGAGAATGTCTTCGCCGAATATTCTTGCCTGTGAAGCTCTGTAAAGCTCGAGCACTGTACTTGCACCACTGTATTGTATGCTAACCGTATCGAAGAAATGCTCTTGGTCAACAAATTCCGCAAATTCATCTAAATCACGACGGAAATAATTAAATTGGATTGCCTCAAACTTCTAACGGACCAAAAAAAAAAGAAAAAAAAAACACCTGACGAGACATCGTATCCTTTGACTCGTAGAAGTCGAAATGCCATTGCATGACAAGTTATGTCGGAAAAAATCTCGTCTTCCTTCTTCAACCAACGCCTATTAGTCGTACAAACTCACTGTGAGCAATTGCAATTTTACGCATATAAACAATTTGGAAAATCAAATCTCACTCGTATATTTCATCAAGAATGTTGCGTAGCTCAAATTCAAAATACCGATTTACACCCAATTTTTCGACGGTATCAACCACACAAAGACGGGTGTATATATCCACAGGGTAAATAGTAGGCACTGACAACGAACGTAAAATTGTAGATTAACACAATACACGTGACGGAAATATTATATACCTAGTACATGATTATAAAGAATTTAAGTTACCCCATCCATTGCAATTAGCATTAAGAACCGAGATCAAGTACTCGAAACACTTTTCATCACGGCAGTGAATCAAAGCAGCTGCAGTAGTAGCTGGTGAGTTGAACAAAGAACCATTATTTTTTTGATGTTCCGATATTACCCCCTTCCAATTGCCCGATTTACCGAGTCCTTCCAACGCATATTCTTGATTTCGTTTTCTAAATCGAACGAGATTTCACGGTTAGTTTCTACTTATTATCATTTAGGGACTTCAAAAGAACAAGATTCACCAAACTAACCTATTTTCTGAATCTCGAATGTGAATTAATGAATCGACTAGAGTGGGATTTAAGGGCAGATTTAAATTTAGCTCCTCAGCATAGTTCATCATTGCAGGAAATATAATATTGAATCCAATGGGTGAAAACTGATCTTTACTATTAGCAGCCCAACCATTGGATGCAATGAAATCCATGCCTATAATAAACAAATAAATTAATTTTAAAAAAATCAATTTTTTTGACACTGAATTAACAAATTCATGGCGATTTGAATTTAATTACCATTTTGTACTAGCTGTTGGCCAACATCCCATTTCCTTAGGGCAAGCACGCACGCCAAGGTGGAAGAGAGAGAGTCTCTAACCAGAAACGGGTGACCCGGATCCAAACCCCACGACCCGTCCGGATTCTGATTTTCCATTATCCAATCCAAGCACTGCGGGAAACAGGGCTGATCACTACCGCCGCCGGAATATTCCCTCGCCGGCACCATCGCCACCCATGCCGTGTCGTACGCCGACGGCGATATCTCGACCTTGCCATCGGTTATCCTCTCCCTGATTTTCTCGATCAAGCTTCCATGATTGGCTGGGGAATCAACATTCAGGCAGCATTTGGTGGTGACGATCGGTCCACCGGAGAACGAATTTGCTGCAAATTAATTTTAATTTGGATGTAATTCGTCAAGTGCTTGGTTTTCATGCAGTGAATATTTAATTATTTATAGTGTAAGGAGCTTTTAGCAATTTGATATGACACTGTGGTACTAAATACAATAATCTCTAAAACAAAACACTAAGATATAAATATCTGCACTTACCACCAATTTTTTTTAGGCTTGAGGAAGGAAAAACTTTGAGTGTATAACCCATTGGCAATTTGTTTTATCATACACTAGTGTTCACTTATGAACTTATATAATATAATGCTAGGGCAATTTTCAAACTATAACTTTCTTGACAATTTTGCCCCTTCAATTTTCAATTTTCATTTTTTGTTTATGTGAAAATTGAAAGTTAATGTAAATAGATAATAGAAAATATATTTGATTTCAAGCGTAAGAATAAGTATCGGTTTTCTCTCGTCTAGTTTGCAAGCTATTATACAAGAGTATATGATTTGCTGCGGATTCGAAGTAAATTCGTGTACGTACTTCCTTGAAGATAAAAGAAAAATAACAAACTCCTTTCTAGCTAGCATGTGTATACTTAATTTTGAAGATATCAATTAACAAATAATAGGTGTTTCACCAAACTTCTTTCTATATGCACATGCAAAATGTAATTTTTCAAGATCAATTATTATGCAATATATATTGAACAAATTAAATTAATAATTAAGTTGCAGAAGTACTTACGAGAGTGTATATTTATCCATTACACTTAAATGATTTGATGCAGGTTCGTTTATTATCATAAAAAAAATGTATTTATATGCATGCTTGTTCGTGTTACAAATATAAAAACAAAAATAATACACACAAAAATTACATTATTCATTTTTATTTTTTCAAATTATTCTCTAAAAAAAACTTGAATTTATAGAAAAAATTAAGTTGAAAGATTAGGAAGCTCAAGGGGCTCCCAAATCATCGCCTTTATATCCTTCATGATGAGATTCGGAGACGAATATTCGTCTCCACCATTGTACGGATATACGCAATAAGCCATCTTGCTCGTCTTCAAAAATAATTCTTTACATTCTCTCGGAACAATACTTCCTTCTCTTCGATAAACCATTTGCAACACTTTTCTCCGATTATATTCAATAATTTCTTCGACTTTCAAAATCGCCTCCTCTTCCGAAACGCCTCCAACTATTTGCAAAGTCACACCGTTTAGCGTCCCTTCGTCTCTTTCCTTCTGCCATATGCATATATATATATATAGCGTAGATCGATTAATTATGCAGCTTTTTTGTATTAGAAAATATTTTGTTTCGGAGAAATAATTCAATAATATACATACCTTGAAAGTCTTGAGATCGTTGAGAAGTCTGCAAACCAAACCGGTATATTCGGACAAACTATCGAACTCTGCGGATTTAAACATTTCCTGTGGTATTTTAATCCCGAGAAACGGGGTCGGTGTGAAAACGCAAATTTTCCCTCCGATACTTTTCCATGCAAACGACAAATAATCGTCTAGGGACATCGCTACATTAGTCTCGGTACTCCACGACTCGTTTTCTCTCGCAAAATTCTCTAGTAAATCGAGCCACTGTGCTTCGACAAGAAAAATAGTTAATCGAAGCATTAATTCGCATATAAATTAACTAGCTATAGCTATATATATAGCAAGTACCCTGCTAACTAGATCCTCTTTAATCCAATAGCCTTGCGCCACATAAGCATTTTCCGCAACTTCGTTGACTGTGTTGTACAACGCAGTAAATAGAATTTCGACTTCTCGAGAGCAATAACTTGTTTCCGCATGCACATTCCATCTATATATATATATATACATATAATAATCCAAGAAAAAATTGTATAAGATATATATACATATATAGATATAACATGTGTAAGTATTCCTTGAAGAAGGAAATGAAAAAATGACCCGTACTATTTATACGTACTTGCGTACTAGTTCGATAACACAGAGCGCTTCTTCTCTGGATCCGTAACAATCGAAAAAGTCGTCAAACAGAGTAATTAAGACAATGGCTTTAACGTAAGATATTCGAGCCATGTATAATTCGGGATCGGCGATAACTGCAGCAATCAAACTGTAGGAAACTTGCAATACATTCCTTCCTTGATTTAATCGGTCCAACCTAAATTCAACGTACCATCTTTTTTTTTTTTTTTTTTTTTTTTTTTTTTTTTTTGTCGTTGGAACAAATATTAGTTTAGTACCGTAACGAAAATTGCATATGTAATTCGGTTTATTTACGGGGGTGGTATATACCTCTCCATTTGTTGGAGTTCTTTTTGGTATTGAGCTTGGGAAATTCCGTAATCTTCGACCGAAAGTCGAACAAAATCTTCGTTATGGACTGTGGGGCACCTATATTTTGTATACTAGACTGATTAATTACCACATATATGAGTTGCAAATTGTTATTAATTAATTACCTGTATGCTGTTTTGAGAATTCGAAAATCTCGAGCATCGCATAGCTCAATGCTTCGTCTGACTCCGAATTGATCGAGCGTGCCATGAAAGTTGTACGAGTCATACTCCACCTTGCAAATTTCAAAACAAAACTTCGATTAGTATTTTTGTGAGCCTATTGTCTTTAACTACCCCTGTAAAATTCGCAACTGCACGATTTTTTCACCTCATAAAAAATTTAGCAAATACCCCCTTGACCGGTTTTGAAATGACAAAAATACACTAGGAGGGTTATGCTAAAGGAAATGCCCCATCCCTCAAACAGGTAATTTTCAAAAGTAAAAGGACCAAATTGAATTTTTGAAAAATTGAAGAAATTTGAAGGGGTTAAATTGCAATTTTCTGAAACTTGAAGGGGAATCGCACAGTTGCGAATTTTACAGGGGTAGTAAATGTAATAAGCTCTTAATTTTGTATACGATTTTTTTTCTTTTTTTTTTTTTTTTTTTGGTATTTTACATTTATTTCCTAACCATATATCACCTGCTTTCGTAATCGCTTGTCGAGGATGCTCTGGTTTAGCAACTGCTGCTTCAGAAATGCACTAGTCCAATCATGAATTTTGTCGAGTATTGATTCGTCGCATATTCTCGCCTGCGAAGCTCTGTAAAGCTCGAGCACGGTTGTCACACCGTCGTATTGCATGCTAACCGTATTAACGAAATGTTCTTCGTCAACATATTCCGTCAATTCATCTAAATCACAACAAAAATTTATTAAATTTTGATGATCGATTTTCGCATCTCAAATGTGTATATATATATATATACCTGATAAGACATCGTATCCATGGGATCGTAGAAGTCGAAAGGCCATTGCATGACAAGTAATATCAGAAAAAATCTCGTCGTCTTTCTCCAACCAACGCATGTGTATTTCATCGAGAATGTTGCGTAGCTCAAATTCAAAATATTTGCTTACTCCCAATCTTTCGAGGTTGTCGACCATGCAAAGACGCGTGTATATATCCATCGGATAAATAGTAGGCACTAACAAATTAAAAAACAATCGTCAATGAATACAATATATACACCTGACGAAAAATATTCTCCCTCTGTTCCATAATATCTGCCGTGTAAGGTTTTTATGCATGTTTATTAAGAAGAATATGTATAAAGACAACGAGCAATTAATATGATAGATAATATGAAACTAAGGAAGTAATTAATACTTATTACATGATTATAAATAATTATAAATAAATAAAGTATACCGTACCCCGTCCATTGGAAGCTTTGAGAACCGAGATCAAGTATTCGAAGCATTTTTCATCACGACTGTGAATCAAAGCAGCTGCAGTAGTAGCTGGTGAGTTGAACAACGAGCCATTACTTCGTTGATGTTCCGATATTACCCCCTTCCAATTGCATGATTTACCGAGTCCTTCCAACGCATATACTTGGACGTTTTGCTTTCGTCTAACGAAACAATCGATCAATAAATTAATTAACTCGATTTCAAATTATGCATATTAAATCAAAATGAGGGTTTCACAAATTAAACTAACCGAATTTCCGAATCTTGAATGTGAAGCGATGAATCAACAACATGTGAAGTAAGGATCGAGGGCAGAGTTAAGTCCAGCTCTTTAGCATAATTTACCATCCAAGGGAATATAATATCGAATCCAACGGGCGAAAACTGATCGTTATTGTTAGCTGCCGCCCAACCGTTGGATGCGATGAAATCCATGCCTATAAATTATAATATATAAACACATAAATTATCAAGCAAATTCAAAAAAAAAAATCAAAATCAAAATTTTCGACAATTTAATTACCATTTTGTACTAGTTGTTGGCCAACACCCCATTTCCGAAGAGCGAGCAGACACGCCAAGGTGCAAGAGAGACGATCTTTAACGAGAAACGGGTGATCCGTACCCAAACCCCACGACCCGTCTGGATTCTGATTTTCCATTATCCAATCCAAGCACTGCGGGAAACACGGCCGCCGATCACTTTCGCCGCCACCGGAATATTCCGTCGCCGGCACCATCGCCACCCATGCGGTGTCGTATGCCGACGGAGACATGATCTCCACCTTATCATCATATGTTATCCTCTCTCTGATTTTCTCGATCAAGTTTCGATTATTGGCCCGGGAATTAACGTTGACGACCGCGCATTTGGTACTAATAACGATTCTTGTGCCGGAGAAGGAATATGCCGGTGATTTAATTAGTAACAGCTTATTAGCTCCTCCTAACGTAAGCATTGTCGAACTAACTATTATTAGTGCTGATCAAGAAACAAAGTAATAAACATTTGAATTATTTGTCGTTTATTAAAACTACTTTTCAACAATGTTGAATATTAAACCGAAAACAGTCAAACACGATATATATTGACTGTATGAACATCTGTTTCAGATATTCAATAATCTATAACAAAAAATCAACATCTTTTAATATATATTAAAACATGCATGCACGGCCGGTTTTAAGAGGAGGCGAAGTAGGCGGTCGCCTAGCAGCCTAGGGCCTGCGGATTTTTACAAAAATCTAGGGCCCCAAATTAAATTATATACACTTTATATATTAATACTTATTTCTTAAAATTATTATATATATATATTTTGAAACATCAGTTTTAAAATAAATGATTGATAGATACTTTTACAATTTTCTTAACTTTGAGGTCCCTAAATATTAAATTTATAATGTCTTAATTATTATTTTTATATATAAAATAAGAACCAAAATTCATTAGTGTAATTAAGTGTTATAAATATTTATGAATTCTATTTACTATAAAGATTATACATCACGGAAGGAAGTGAACCATTAAATTATTCTGTTAATTTTTATTTTTTTCCATATTTAAAGTTATTTTATATTCATACATTTCAAAAAATGTTTCAGGGGCACTGTCCCGAACCTCCGTAATCTTTTATTCTATCATTTTTAGAAAATATTATTTATATGTTATAGTATATTTAATTCCAAACACCCTTTAATAAAATTGATTTATCAAATAGGGGCCCCGTTTTATGTTGTTCTTTAAATCTCGCCTAGGGCCCTCGAATTATCAGGAACGACCCTGTATGCATGCATGATAGATATATTAATCTTAAATAAATAAATAAATATATATATATATATATATATATATATATATATATATATATATATATATATATATATATATATATATATATATATATATATATATATATATATATATATATATATATATATATATATATATATATATATATATATATATATATATATATATATATATATATATATATATATCGGATCAAACTTCGAGCGATATATCGGAAACATATTTTTTACTATTTTATTTATTTATTTTTTATTACAAAGAAAATAGAGTGTTTATTATTATTTTTTTCTTTCAATTCCAACCCATTATCTCTTTCAATCAAACTCAAACTCAGCGACCCGATAAGAAAAACCTGGCCTAAAAAAACAAAAATACAGAACAATCTAGACACCGCGGCGCCATTCTTTATCTCACTATTAATGTTAAACTTTTGTTATGTGATTAGAATACATAAACGATGAGGAGAGAATAAAATTCAATTTTGTTTTATACGTTTTAAGTATTTATAAATAATATTAATTTAGAAATATATTACACTAACTCTAAAAATCAATTTATTTTCGATATATCTCCGATTAATTATCGCCACACCGATTTATCGTGTGACGGTCCTCGAACCCAATAACTAATATTTAGAACCTTTTATATATATATATATATATATATATATATATATATATATATATATATATATATATATATATAGCTATGTATATATATGTATATATACACCCTTTACTAATGGATGAATGCTTCCGTGTCAATGATTATATGCCAGACTGGGTCTAGGAGGGTATGTATGTAGCCATGGGCGGGAACCCGCCTGAACTTTAAGCGAGTAAGATCGCTGTATTTGGATAGTAGGTGGACGCTTCGTTTTTTTGTCTATGGGAAATATGACTGCACATGAGAAAGGCGCCTACCAAGAATTTTAAGGTCCGTAGTGTGACGGG